TTAATTTAATAAAATAATTTATTTAATTTTTAATTTATTTTTTAATTTTCTCCGTATTTTTCATGCTCAAATATTTTGCTCTAAAATGCATTTCATTGTCTAATCAAATTGAAACACTTGTATGTTGCTGCATTCGTAAAACAAATAAACAAATTAAAAAAATAACTTTTCCCAAAAATATAAATATATGATAAGAGTTGACCTGTCATCTCGATTAAAGAGATTCCCGACTTTCTCAATCTAATATTTATTACCGGCCAATCTTTATCTCTTAATATTCACATTTTGTATTAATATTTGTTTGACCATTTCTCGACCTTTCCCTCTCAATAACAATATTTGTTTGCCTAAATTTCCACTATATATATCCGCCACATTTTCACCTATTTTGTCTTATATTGAACTATCGTCTTGTATTGAACTTCTATTGAACTCTAACTTTTAATTTATTGTTAATTAACCCTTGAATAAATATATTTAACCCAATTTGACCAAGGCTTAGAACCGAGGGTATTTAGAGTGAACTTAAAAACAGTTCATTTGGTGCCACTTAATCCGGGCGAAAAGCCTTGAGAGAAAAAGAATTTGTTTTAAGGATATTTTGATCCTGAAGAGAGCTTGTTCTAAAGAGTGTTGAGAGAAATTGTGGGAGGAAAATACCCCACGTAATTAATTAATTTTGAAAAAACGAGGTAGACTGCTTGGTGCTCTATCCTCCTGCTGTGTGCAACGGTTAAAGTAGAGGAAATTGCTGGGTGCAATCCTCAGTTTAAAAAAAAGAGAGGATCTGGATTTTTCACTCTCAGAAAGGCTCTATAAAGGATTTCCTGCCCCTGAAAACATTTTCTGGAGTATCTTGGAAATGGATAAAAATCAAACACAGACAACTGGATCAGATTTTGCGAATAAATTTTTTACGCCTGAAGAGGGTCGTCATTGGAATAACTTATTATTCCGATTACGCAGCTTTGAAGAAGCTGTATGTAAAAATTTCCGTAAAATCGAGTCAAAAATTACTGAAGGACAAAATTTGCCATCAAATTCGTCCTCATCTGAAATTGATAAAATAAATGCTTTAATAGATGGAAAATTTGAAAAATTAGAAAATCAATTTAAAAATTTAAAACAGATTGTAAAAGAAGAAATATCAAATTTAGGAGTTGATAATGATGTAAATAAAGCTAAAATTCAAGAAATTGAAAATAAAATTGAAAATAGAGAATTAAAAGATGAATTAGTCTTTTTGCGCTCTAAAAATATGGAATTAGAAAAAGAACAGATTTTGCAAATCCAGCGCCTAGACATCCTAGAGGAAGGGATGGAAAATGTTGAGAATAATTTAACTAAAAGTGAGCAAAAAATCGCAGAAATTATTACTAAAAATGCGCGTAAATTAATTGATAAAATTGAAAGTCTTGAAGCAAAAGTAGAGGTCTTAGAAAATGGATCGCGAGGATCCGGATTTTCTTGGAATGGTCACGGTAGTAATGAATCAGTTGACCTAAATCTCAAGACTAAACCTCCGGAGAAAGCGTCGGAAAATGCTGAAAAACCCATTACTGGAGAAAATGTTGAAATTATGATCGGAGACCCATTCTTAAACGGTCTAATGACCCCAGTCGGAGTCTATGATGGTAACCCAACTAGCTCATTCCCAAAATTTTTTCAGCGATTTATGGATGCTCTAAATTTAATAATTACCCCTCTAAATGAAGCACAAAAGCTTAGTCGCCTAAAAGTGTGCCTGGGAGGTCGCGCTCGTGCTGAACTTGATGCTAGAGTCCCACAACCAGCTACTCTGCAAGAAGCTATAGATTTTTTGCAAGAAAAATTCGTAAATGGACACTCTCGTACTGTAGCTAGACAAGCACTATCTATAATAGAACAAGCGCCTGGAGAAAGAGTTTTTGAATTCGCGCAGCGTTTAAATGACGCAGTACGTGCTGTAATGATTGGATATGAAGAAAATACAATACAACAGCGATTGCTTGATGAATTTTTAGATAGGCTTTTGCCAGATCTTCAATTCGAAGTTAAAGCTTCTAGACCCGAAGACTATTCTAAGGCATTCGAAGTTGCCGAACATTTTGAATTATTATTGAACGAAAAGCGCCAAAAATATCAAAATAATCAATATGTGGATTTAGCAGAAAAAGTAGAAGCCCTAGCAATTAATCGGTCTAGAGAAACAAGACGCTTATGCTATTACTGTCATAAACCTGGTCATGTTATAGCGGATTGCCGAAATAGAGCAAGAAAAAATTACAAATCCCGCCAATATAATAATTATGAGCGAAGAAATTATCAAAATAATTATTGGGAAAATAGGCAAAATTATAGAAATGAATATAATAGAGATAACCGCAGATATAATGATAGAAATCGCGGAAATTATAGAGAAAATTCGCCAAATAACTATAGCCGGTCACCCACTAGAAGCGTGAGATTTAGCGAAAGCCGAGTTGCAAGTCCAATGAGAATATCTAGCCCTTATTTGCTAACGATATTTGCACTTATTGCAATAGTAAGTCCCACTTGGGCTAGCTCTGTACCACTAACTGAAACAAATTGTGCCGCTTACTCAACCTTTACCTTTAAAGAGAGAACAATTAACGACAATTGGAAAATGACAGGATTGCCTAAAGAGAGCACTTTTGCCACAAATTACGCGAGTTATCTCATACTAAATCATATTTGGATATTTCTCGCCTTTTTATTTGATAGCACAATAATATGTTTACTGATGTTTATTTTAAAGCAAAGTGCATTGAAATTAATCGCAAAATCGCTAATTGGAAATTATTATACAAATGAAACGGAGAAAATAAAATTAAAATTAGTAGAAAATGTTAAATTAAAAAACAATGGCGATATTAATAAAAATAATAATTCACTAAAGAATTGTGGCTTGAGAATAAACACAAACTTAACAAACCCGAGCCAAAAACATAATTATCAGAAAAATAGTCCCATAAATAAAAAAGTAAGAAAAAAGTGGGTTGAGTACAAATTTGTGATAAGACCCCCTAATTTTAAAATGGGAGAATCGACAAAGACAGGAGGACCATCGGAGAAAGACTACATCCATCAACAAAAGATAAGCCTGCCAACGTCAAAACAACAGACAGGATGCACAAAAGCAAACAAGGAATGGAATCGCAAAGTAAATGGACAAATGCCGAAGGGTAAAAAGAAGATAAGAAGTATTGCTCATCTGTAATTTAAAAATGGACATTAAAAAGTCCCCCTCCCCAATTTCCTTTAAAATAATTAATCAAATTCCCTAAAATTTTTCTTACCTTTAATAGCTTAATTTTTTAGTTTGTAATCTAATTTAAATTTTTCTATGCCCTTTAAACTCTTGTCGGAGAATAGTATATCAAAAAAAAATTTAATCCCATAATTGGAGAAACACTATAAAATTAAATAAAGTTAAAAAAATATAGCTGAGAGGAGAATTTAAAAAAAATGTAAAATTAAAACCCCTCGCTAAAATTTTCAAAGCTAAAATAGAACCGTAAATGGCTTCTAAAATAAAATTTTTGTTTTTACAAAAGGCGAATTGTAGCAAATAAACAAATTAAAAAATTAAAATATAATATCCTCCGTTTATTTTAATAAGCATGACGTGGACGTCATCTTAATTAAGGGGGAAAGAATGCTGCATTCGTAAAACAAATAAACAAATTAAAAAAATAACTTTTCCCAAAAATATAAATATATGATAAGAGTTGACCTGTCATCTCGATTAAAGAGATTCCCGACTTTCTCAATCTAATATTTATTACCGGCCAATCTTTATCTCTTAATATTCACATTTTGTATTAATATTTGTTTGACCATTTCTCGACCTTTCCCTCTCAATAACAATATTTGTTTGCCTAAATTTCCACTATATATATCCGCCACATTTTCACCTATTTTGTCTTATATTGAACTATCGTCTTGTATTGAACTTCTATTGAACTCTAACTTTTAATTTATTGTTAATTAACCCTTGAATAAATATATTTAACCCAATTTGACCAAGGCTTAGAACCGAGGGTATTTAGAGTGAACTTAAAAACAGTTCATATGTCCCATATTTAATAGTACAAAACCTGATTTTTCTCAACACATTTTTAATTAATAAATTTATTAATAAAATGTGTTTCTTTATTTGTTTTATATTTAAGTTGTATTTTATTAATTCTGATTTTAATAAATTAAATTCTGATTTTTAATTTTTAGAATTATTTTAAAGTAATTCTGATTTCTACTTAAATGTATTTATTCTGGTTTTCTAATATACAAAATGTAATTCTTATAATAATTCTGATTATCTTCTGATTTCAGAATGTGTGTTTTTATTTGTTTTATTTATGATTTTTGTGTTTTAATAAAATAAATTCTGATTTTTAATTAATTCTGGTTATCTTCTGATTTTAAAAGTGTGTGTTTTTAACTTTAATTGTTTTGTGTGTTTCTTTTCTGATTTTTGTGTTTCTTTTTATAATTCTGATGTTTTTATTGTTTTAAATTAATTTTTTCAAAACATTTTCGATTGTTTCCATCAGAATTTTATCATTTCTTATGAAATAATTTTTATCTTCTTAAAAAATTTCTTTTTCCCTTAGAAAATAATTTTTTATTTTTATATTTAAAAAAATATTATTTTCTAATCATTTCACAATTTCTTAAACAAATACAAAAAATTCCTTTCTAAGCTAAAACCAAAACTGTCATGCTTTAATCAATAAATGACGGCCAAATAAAACAAAAGCAAAAGTTTTTAAAATTATTTTTAAAATTATTTAGTTAAATACAAAATTAAAAAATGTTTTTAAGCTTAACAATTAATTGTTTTTTTTATATTCTGGTTTTATTTGCTTCTGGTTTTTGTATTTTCTTTTTCATTTAATTCTGATTTTTGTATTTGTGTTTTTTATTCGGTTCTGATTTTTGTATTTTTGCTTTTTCATTGTTCTGATTTTTGTACTTTCTTTTTTATATAATTCTGATTTTTGTATTTTCTTTTTTATTTAATTCTGATTTTTGTGTTTTTGCTTTTTCATTGTTCTGATATTTTTTATTTGTTTTTGTTTTGTGTTTTTACTTTTTCTTGTTCTGTTTTCAATCCCTTAACTTTCTATGTTTGTATTATTTGTTTTTGTGTTTTTATGTGTTTCTGTTTTATTTTCCCCTTTTAAGATGTTTTAGCCTTTATGTTTTTGTTTGTTTCAATTTGTGTTTTTCCTGTGTTTAATTTAAAAACGACAAACACATTGTTGTATTTTATTTTTTATAATTTTTTCTTTAATATTTCCCACCATTTTTCTTTCATTTTCTTTGCTATCAATGCTTTCTAGTTGAATTTTTTTCTTTTTTATTTATTTTCTCTTTTAGCTAAAAAAAGTATTCTTTTCATCTCTTGATTTTTGCTATTGTGATTTTTCACAAAAAATATTTTTTTTAATAAATTTTTGTTTCTTCTTTTTATTCATGCTTTAACTGAAACATTTTTACGTTTGAATAAATTTTAAAAATATTTTTTTCACAAAAACAACAGTTCCCTTTACCCATTATTACCTTTTTATGTTTTCTCTTTGTTTTCCAAAAATAATTTTTTTAATTTTTTTCGCGCATTGCCAAGGAAACCTTTTCTTTTCTCATTTTTTTGTTAAAAAATGCCACAAGACGTAAACTAAAAATTATTATTTTTTTATTAGAATTTTATAAACCTTTGAATATTTTAAAAGAAATAACAAAGAGATTGTTTGTTATTGTTTGTTTGTTATTTGTGTTTTTCTTTTTTTTGTATTTTTTATGTGTTTTATTTTTAATTCTGGTTTGAATGTTTTTATAATATTCTGATTTTTGTATTTGTTCTGTTTTGCTATGTTTTTATATTATTCTGGTATGTTATTCTGGTTTTTCTATGTAAATGTTTTTATTTTATTCTGATTTGTATTTTATTTGTGTTGTGTTTGTTTTTGTATGTTTTATGTGTTTTATTTTTAAATTATTTTCTGGTTTGAATGTTTTTATAATATGTATTCTGGTTTTGTATTTATTTTGTTTCAGTGTGTTTTATTTTTAATTCTGGTTTTCTTTGAATGTTTTTATTTTATTCTATTTTGTATTTATTCTGATTTTGTATTTTATTTGTGTTTATGTTCTCCTAAATTTTATATTCTTTGTTGGTGTTTTCTTGCATTTTCTGATTATTTGTTCATTCTTAACCCCAACGATTTTATCTATTTATTTTTTTATCTATAAATTTTCCATGTTCGTTTTCCTCTCCTATCATTATTTTTTTAATTTATTTATTTTATATTTTTTCTCCTAATTTTTAAAATAAATTTTAGCAACAATTAATTAAATTTATTTTTTTTATTTTTTTAAATTAATTATGACAATGAATCTGCAGAGATTTGTTTCTTTACCCAATGCATTTAAACCACTAATTTTGGTGAATTTAATTAAAAATAAAAAATTATATTTTTAATTTAAAAAATTTTTTTGTTCAAAAAAACGTTTTTTAAGTTACTCACACTCCTTGCCATTTTACTTGTAGCATCGGCGCCAATGAAAGACACACCTGGCGGAATGTGGTTCTTTTGGCTTACTTCTATTCTACAATTGGTATTTGAAATATTAAAATAAAATATTTTAGACACCCCTTCTAATAATAAAATCTTTCCCTTGATGCTTGAAAAGATTACCAAAAAAATTCTTTTTTTTTGGTTATAAAAAGAAAAAAATTTTTTTAAAGTCAACAGAAAATACCCTTTCAATTGGTGACTTTCTGGTTAAGTTGTTTGTTTTCTTCCATAACTTGTAGTAGTGATGATCGGGAGAAGAAAACCCCGGGAAACTGTATTCGGGTCGGGAAATGACCTCGGGATCGGGATACCCGAGCATCACTAACGTGTAGTCGTGGGGATCCCTGCCTTGACCGATTATTTTTCTTTCTAAAAATTTTCTTTTTGGAGGAAAATTTATTTAAAAAAATTTTTCCTTCTAAAAAATTTTTATCAACTCAATTTTCCAGATATTTATGACAAGTGTTTGTGTTCTTTTTCTTTACGAAGCCGAATCCATTCTTAGTTGTGGGCGAGAAAGTGGATGGCCTGTTGTGGTTAGATTAATTTAATTTTCCTTCAAAAAAATTTTTAAAAATTAAAAGGAAATGTCTTATTCGGGAGTTTGTACATTTTCTAATTTTATTAACACATTTATTTTGGCTGGAGCTCATAAACATGAGAAAAATGCAGCAAATAGTTGTATGGTTGCCGCGGTAATTTTTGACATTCTTGTTAAATAATTCTACATCGAACCTAACCATTACTATTTAATAGCGATGTTCGAGAGTTAAAAAAAGTCGAGACCGAGAGATTAAGAGGGGAGAGAGACCAAGACCTCAAAAAACCCGAGAAATTTCCCGACTTGAGAGTCGAGACCGAGAGTCTAGAACATGACTACCATTTAAGTAAATCTTAGGAGATTATATCGCTTTGTCAGCCCCCACCCAGCGACCAACCAAAATTTTAGAAAATTAAATTAAGCCGAGGTTTATCTGATATTGGTTGTATCTACAAATGAGATCCGCCTATAAAATAATTTTAAAAATATCGTGTAGTTAAGTGGTATTTTTGAAAAGCTCAAGAGACCAAGGTTCGAACCCTCTCCGTGCTAAACATTTTTTACTTTCTCAAAATTATCTAAAATCAACATATTTTAAGTTCACAACACTTTTTATGTGTATATTATTTGCTATTGGAGGTTTAATGATGTTTCGCATATGGAGAGGTTTTGTAAAATCTGGGGGAAATCAAAATCCAACCCCAAATGTTCAAACTGGAAATATTGGAAGTATGCACCCTGGGATTTAATTTAAAAATTTTTTTGAGGAAAATATTGACGAAAAAAATTATTTTTATTATTTTGCAATTTTTTAAAATTAATAAAAAAATTTTATGATATTTTTTCTTGAAGTAAGGTTCAATAAGAGGGGAGCAGAGGTTGATTCAAATTACGAATATTTTTCCAAAAATTCAAAACTTTTAATAATTATTTTTCGAGGAAAAATAATTTGTTTGAAAAATGGGGATTTATTGTCCGAAATTATGTCGAAATTAATTTGAAATTATCGTTTAATCAGCTTCCCTCACTCAATTATCAACCTTCGAACCCTCCCCGTGCTAACCCTCTACGTGTTTACCAGCTTTGCCTTTCTTAACAAGCTTTGTCTTTCTCTGAAAAAAAAATGATTTTTCTTATAAAACAACAAGTTTGACCTTAAAACATCACCTTTAATAATTAAGGTAAATAAAAATAAAATTGTGGAATGAAACATGTATAAAGTATATCCGTATTTGTCATACCGCGACTGGGTCCATATTTGCCGTCCGATATTGTCAGGCCGTAATTAACGACATATGTTTTAATTTGAATTTTAAGATAGAATAATACACTCCTCCACATAACTTACAGGCGGAATAAAAATTTGATTTTGGGCATATTTAAAAGCGCTTGAAATTTGCTACAAGATATTTTTCATCTCATTATCCAGAAAAAATTAATCTTTGAGAAATACTGAGTTAAGTTTGTAAGTTACATCTTCATCAGTTTTAGGGAGCGTTTGAGTGATTTTTATGAACTGAAAGTTTATCACATTATATCTTCAAGGAGAATTTTTTTCGAAAAATAAAATTAATCATACTTGTAGCAAATTTCAAGCGCTTTCAAATAAGCCCAAAATAAAATTTTTAATTCCGCCTGTAACAGGGGTGTGCCGAAAGTGATTTTAAAAAGCGAAAGGCGAAAATGCGAAAGTCATTTAAAAAAGCGAACGGCGAAAGGCGAAAAACGAAAGTCCAAAAAAGGCGAAAATCGGCGAAAGGCGAAAGGCGAAAGGCGAAATTTTTCAATTTCCGCTATGAGTCTGAGATTTTTTGGTCAAGTAATTTAAAAGCCTTATTAAGTGTTCCAAATCTACAGATAATAGGAAATAAATAATAGGAATTTTATTAAATTGTGAAGTTTCCGGCGACCACTGTGATTGAAAATAAACTTTACAAACCTTTTTCAGCGCCGCAGGCAAAATTTTGAAAATTTTGGAAGGCCTAGCAGCCAGATTTCTTCATTTTTCAGCGCCGCGGGCAAAAATTTTCGAAAATATACGGTGTCTAATGCACGGAAAATTAAATTTTTAAATTAAAAAAATAATTTTTTCAAAGAAAATGATAACTATTTTATTTATGAAAGAATTAGTCTTATCTCTAATCTTGGAATCAAACCTATCAATAAGTAAATGGTCGCAAGTTGAAGTCAAACAACTTAACCACTCAACCATCCATGACTTATAGACAAACAAAGGAAAATTATATACAATATTCCCTACTCGTATCAGTTTTAACCTCCTTTTCTTCTCCTAATTTTTCCTCTCCCAATTTTTCCTTCTCACAACTTTTCCTCAGATGCCGTCATTAGGGGTGTATAATAATTTCGCCTTTCGCCCGAAAAAGCGAACGGCGAAAGGCGAAAGACGAAAGTCAAAAAAGGCGAAAATCGACGAAAGGCGAAACTCGCACACTCCTGGCCTGTAAGGGTCGAAAATTTTTTTAAAGACGTCTACCCCAGTTTTCCGTTGATTTTCGGGTTTTCAATCTCAATGAAGGAATTATATTGGAACTTCATTTCTTTTGTATTTTCTATACATATCAATGGATATGTTTACAGGAATTTTTGTAGATTTTTCGGACCACCCCTAAGGTCGAAAATACAAGTGGCTGTATAGTTATGTGGAGGTAATTTTTACAGGTAAAGTGGAAAATAATGGAATAAAACTTAATAATTTCTGAAAAAGCATAATAATCGGTCTATTTGCTGCTTGTTTATTATATTTAAAGGCATAAATTTCAAAATTCATATTTAAGCTGGAAAAATTTAGAAAAATAGAGTGGCTGTATAGTTATGTGGAGGAGTGTATAATAAATCGACCTTTCTTAGAAAATTGCAACTGATTGGATAGGATTTGATTCCGGGCGCTTCCAATGCAAGGTTGTTAACTGGTCAAAACTTACCAACTACTGATAGTTTATGCCTAATAATATAAATTAAATAAAAATTTAAATAATTTAAAATTTTCAAAAATATTTTGCATTAACGTAGAAAAAAGTAAATTTTTATTACTTGAAAACAATAAATTTTTAAACTCCCTTTAAAAAAAATTTTTTTTTCTTTATTACAAAATAATACATAATTTAATAACCCCGACAAAAAATATGATTTTTTGTATATTTATGTACATGTCTGTATATTTTCTTGTCTATTTAAAAATAGCTAGCTATTTTTAATTCATTGCCATTTTCCCCTCAAAAATTTAAAAATTAATTTCAATTTCTCTCCACAGAAAAAATTTAAAAAATTTCTCTTATTTAAATGGTATCACGACTTTTGCGCGGTTTTGAGGCACCCGCCTCGCGGTGAGTCAACGGTCACTGGGTTCTGAGCTCCTAACATAATCCTATGCCTATTTCACTTGCGCTGAGCATGCCTGGCTTTGCGCAACAAAAAAACCTCCACGGAGACTATAGGTAAGGAGCTAAAACGGTCACAACTTTGTCCAAACTTGTTCAATCAAACTGATTTAGGTGTGAATCGATTCAGTTCAAGGAGCTCTTTCGAATAAGCTATCATTTGCAAAATTAAATTTTTCACTCCAAAATTGTGCTACTCCCCCATATGGTGTTTCGATTTTCGGGGATTTATATCTTGGGCCATTTGTGAGTCTCGAAGCTAATTTTTTGACGTTCAACTCAGCTCTGTAAGCTCTTTCAAATGACATATCTCTTGTCCGAATCGGTTTCTGGGAGATACGACGGAATTTTATCAATTTCTTTTCCACAGAAATATTACAAAAATTTTCAAAAATGAAAAATTTTCTTTTCATTTTGTTATTTTATTTTGTAATAAAGCAATTTCAAATACAATTGGCTGATGGAATGAAGCCTGGTATGTCCTTTAAAATTAAATTTCTGACAATTGCATTGCAATTTAAAAAATGAAAAAAAAAACTACAAAATTTACGACCCTATCCCAAAAGAAGGGCGAAATCGTTTTTTCTTTACCTGCATGGAAAGGAAAAATGGAGACTCGGACAGACAAAACACGGACGGACTCGGACAGACAAAACACGGACGGACTCGGACAGACAAAACACGGACGGACTCGGACAGACGTCCGTATTTGGTCAGACCCGAGTCCGTCCGTGTTTTGTTTGTTTTATTTTGTTTGTCCGTGTCCATCCGTCTCATTCTTTCATTCCTTTTCTCTCCATTTTTCCACTCATTTTTCCTTTACTTGCATGACATGAAAAAAAGACGATTCCGCCCTTCTTTTGGGATAGGGCCACATTTACTATTATAAAAATTAAAATTTAGAAAAGGGAAAGCAGGTGATGGAAGGGACTGTTTCAGAACTTCAAGAAAGGGTTTCAGAACTTCAATTAACTGGCCCAGAATTTGATGAATATGTTTATGGAAATGGGTTTCCTGAATTTTCGCTCACGGAGTTTTATACGTTTATTGAAATATTGAACGGAATTGGATTCCAATTATTGGAATCCAATTCGCATGTTCGTTTGGAAGAGATTATAGAAAATATTTTTTGCGCTTATAAGGATTGCGTTAAAATTAAAACGGTAAATACACGATTTATTATAGATAAAATTATTTTAAAAGGTTGTTGGTGTGTATAGTGACATTCTTTGTTCTGGAGAAACATTGGTATATAAAAGAAATTATTACATTTCTTTTGGCCTCTTTGTTTTTGCTCGAAAGTTCATCCGTTCATTTTTTGAGTTTCATGATACAAATAAATACTATGACAACTTGGTTGAGCGGTTTAATCCGTAAGCTTTATGATTTAAAAGATTTTGTTGAGAGAAATTTAATGGCTTCTATAACAACCATTCTTTAGAATAGGAAAGACCGTTTAATTCCTCGGTTATTTTTCCTTGTGGCGGACTTTTCCCTTCTCTCTTCTCTTTTTGACCCGCCACAGGGGTCAAAAAGTCGTTTTAAACGGTCTTGTCCTACTCTAATATTCTTAGTTAAAAGAAATAATTTTTAAGGAAAAAACAAGTTTCAATTTTGCAATATTTGAGAACCTATGACCTTTATGAGGCAAAGGCAAACGAATTGATAATCGAAATCAAAAAGTGGGATGAGCATCAAATGTCCCTTGAAACTTTAGAAAAGTCAGATATTCTACCTACGTCAAAGGTTTCAATAGAAAACGAAAATTATATTAACGAAGGGATTGTTGGCGAAAACATTTTCACATATTTTGGTAAAATATTTTATTCGTTAAAAGTTATAAAATTCAAAATTGAATTATAGTGAAATTGAAAAATAAAAATTTTAAAGTTGACAAGAAAATAATTAAATTTGAAATAATATAAAGCATATAGCTATTAATTTCCTAAGGCTGTGCAGTAGGCGGCGTGCGGTAATGGCTAACACATCAGTCCGGTCTACTGAAGATGATGGTTCGCTCCCAGCCGGCGAATAACCTTTTGCTCTAGCTAAAGGAGAGAAATAGCTATAGCCCAGCTGCTTTACTATAAAAAGTTTTTAAAATTTCTGAAAATACAAAAACCATAAACTAATTTTTTTGGATATAAGTGTTTTCAGAAACTAATCCAATAATTATTATTTTTTAGTTATAAACGAGGAAGTAACTGCTCAAGATTGTAGAAGGTTTAGTAATGTTTGCATGCATAAAACAAAAATGAACAAATTTGATACATTCCATTTATACTTTAATAAGCTTGAAAAAAAAGTTCAATTAAAACTTGAACATCACCTTATAAATCCATTTTTGATTGAGAAAGATTATGAGGAACACAGAAATAAAATGTTTGGATTTTACAAGAACTTTGAAGGAGATCATGTTAACTATAATCAATATCTGCCACAGTCACGTATTCAGATAACAATTCAAGTATAGATTTATATTTAACCTATCTTGAAGTTTATTGAACCTAATTTTATGTTTAATTAAGGATTTAAACCTAAAAATCCTATACCTAATTATCATCATTTATTTTTGAGCATTTAAATAATATTAATTAAATAAACAATTTAAGATACGTAAATATTGTGAACAATTCAACAGTGAAAAACCACAATCTCATAAAATTGGGGGACATGGACATCGAGGTGGTCATAGCGGAGGAAGCCATTCAAAAAACAAAGGTGGCCGAGGTGGAGGACATCATTATGGCTCAGGATATGGAAGTGGTCATGGTGAAGGACAAAACTATGACGCTTCATACCAAGGTGGAGGACATCATTATGGCTCAGGATATGGAAGTGGTCATGGTGAAGGACAAAACTATGACGCTTCATACCAAGGTGGAGCCCATCATTATGGCTCAGGATATGGAAGTGGTCATGGTGAAGGACAAAACTATGACGCTTCATACCAAGGTGGCCGAGGTGGAGGACATCATTATGGCTCAGGAGACCAAAGTGGTTATCGTGGAGGACAAAATTATGACTCAGACTATGGAAGTGGTTATGGTGGATATTAAGGAAATCACTAAAGAAGATATTGGCTAGAGATGGCATTTATGACTTTTAAAAGTATTTAAATTTGAATAGCCAGATTTTTGAATTATTTCAATCAAATATTTCTATAACAATCCTGCTGAGATTTATCAAATGTCAGTGAATTAATTCCTTTATAAGAAAATAGTGAAAATCCTCTATAAATATGCTAAAAGGGTCAACCCTCGTATAAAAGGATTTGAAGGGATTAAGTAATCTAAGAGATCTTGAGATATTTGAAGGGATATCAGAGGATTACGGGGGAATAGGATTTTGGAAGGCCAATATATGAAGCGATATGGAAGAAGACATTTAGCCAAATTTTTTCTAATATTTAGCGCCGCAGGCAAAAATTTTGTGAAATTTGAAAGAGCAAGAAGCCAGATATCGGCTAAACTGCAGTAAACCAACCTTTTTTAGATTTGAACTATTTATATGTCATTCGAAAGAGCTCGTCGAGCTGAGTCGAACGACACCAAAATTAGTCCGCGGACTCAACTGTGAGCCGAGATACAGGCCCCCGAAAATCGAAAAACCATATGGGGGACCAAGCACTTTTTTGGGGTGAAAAATTCGAAAATGCAAATTATACCTCGTTAAAAAGAGCTCGTCGAGCTGAGTCGAATGACACCAAAATCAACGAAATCGGACTTGATTTGACAAAGTTGTGACCGTTTGTTTTTACCCCTTCCACAAGGGTTTCGCGGAAAAAAGTTTTTGCCGCTGCGGAGGAAGCCGGGCATGTCGAGCGGAACGACGGCCGCCGCTTCGCTACGGTCGCCGCGAGCGAAGCGAGTACGATCGCAGCGAAGCACGGCCATCGTGTAGCGAAGACCATGCCCGGCCTACCCTCCGTAGCAGCACAAAAACAGTTTTTCCAGCGAAGATTCTGTTGGTCATAACTTTGTTCATAATCATCCAATCGAGCTGATTTTTATGTCATTCAACTCAGCTCGACGAGCTCTTTCGAATGACATATAAATTGTTCAAATCTAAAAAAGGTTGGTTTACTGCAGTCCTGCCCATTTATCTTCCGTTTTTGACATCGCAGGCGTCAAAGTTAATCCAGGAAATCCAGACATTAATATCGTCTGGGTCTGGATTTGGGTTATTGACCGGGACTGGGTCCAGAAAAAGTCCAGGACGTTAAAAAATGCATGGATTTGGACTCTGAATCCAGAAAAAAGCCAGAATGGTCCAGATCCAGATCTCTACTAGAAATACTAAAAAATTATAACTTTTCAATACTAGGAGGTAAATGTTTCACAAAGACAATTTCAAAAATCTGGTTAAAATTTAAATGAGAAACAGAAATTAAACAAGAAATTTCTGTTTCTCATTTAAATTTTCTGAACAAGTCCAAAAAACATCCAGTATATTACTGGCAACAAGTGTTCAATGAGGCCGATTTAGCGGTCTTGGTAGGTAACACTAAATGTATTTTATTTTCTGTTATTTATCATTAAATTGTTTTTATTTTAAACAAATGTCGATAAATTGAAGGAAATTTGTTTTTTTTTAATTTTGGTTACACTATAAAAATAAAAATATAAAAATATTCTAATTGGAAATTAAATGAAAGAATTTCGATTTTATTTTTTTAACTCCATTTTCCTCGCTTTCAACTTGAAAATTCTCCAAAAAAATATTTAAACATTTAATTTTATTTTAAAATAACGTTAAAATAATTTTAATAATAATTAATTTTAGAAATTTCAAAAAAATTTCCACACTTCTTTTGCCAATAGCCCAGCCACCAAAGTAATTCCAATTAAACTAAATAAAGTAATCATTCGAATTATTGTCTTTCTAGCATATTCTAATTGGTTATTTAATTCTCCAATTGTTTGTTGCTGTTCTTGTTTTTCAGCTTTAAGTCGTTTATTCTTCAAAATTTTAATTAAAAGAAAATTTATCTGACAAGGATATTTTGTTTATTTCGAAGTTTTATGATTAGATTAACTTAACTTTGTGATAAAGAAAATTTTGAACTGAAAGGGTTCGAACCTTCACCCTATTTAAACAAAAAATTCAGGATTATCCCGCTAAACCAAAAGGAACAAAAAATTGGCATTTTGTGTATATTGCCGTTAAGATTTTAATTTTAGAACAGACAATCTATATACTCAAATAAAAATGTTTTTTCAAGACAAGGGGTCGAACCTCCGACCATACAAAATACGTAAACCTAAAATTATCCTACTACACCAAAAACAACCAAAGAAATTTAAACTGAAAAACGTCTCAAATTTTCTTATTTTTACCCTTTTTAAAGCTTCTTACAAAAAATTTTTACCGCATATTGTAACGCCGCAATACTATCATTTATTTCCATTTCACTATTTCCTTCATCATAAACCTCAAGTGAATCAAGAATAGCTTCTAATGCATAATTTCTAGTCTTTTTTGCATTTAAGGGAACGTTGAAACGGCAAAGAGGACATTCAAATGTGTTTTTGAAAGGGGCCTGAAAAAATCAGAAATTTTTGTTAAACGTAAAACACTAAAGTATTTTAGGCACTTGAATATGAAGAGGGAATTTTAAGGATTTACATGATGTGTTAGCAGATACAAGACTTGTTGTCCCAGATTCACAGATACTAGGCTTGATTGCCCCCCCCCCCCCCCACATGGACTTGTCTATTTAAGAGCTATTCAAGGACTAGACTAAAGCAGTCTTCAACAACTCAGAGCAAGAGTCGAAGTCTCTCTAAAATTCCGAAGAATCAAGTGTTTACTACTCAAAGGCAACGTAAATTGAGAAAATAGCAGACTCTGATAGGGTGAGTTAAAATTAAAAAAAGCTAAGACTCATCCCACTTTTCTTTCATCCCAAAAATTAAAATTTTTAACAAAAAAAATTAAGAGACAAACTTGTCTTTGTCTATTTAATTGAACACAACTCTTTCTAACAGAATCAATACATTTAAAACAAAAAGAATGTCCACAAGGCAAAATTTCTGGTGATTTAAAGAAAACAGATAAACAAACAGGGCAGTGAAGTGGGGAAGAATCTATTCGGATTTTTTGAGCGTCTTCGATTTCTGCACACTTCTTCTAAATATTTTTTTAAATTTTTATAACGAAAAAATAAATTTCAATTTTATTAGACATATCCTATAGCGATTTATTTTCATATTAATAGCTCCTTCCAGCAGCCATACAAAATGTATCCTGAACTAACATTGGGAATGAACTTCCTAGTCACCCATATAATTTATCTTTCCGCAAACCAAATGTGACCATAAAAGTACTATTGATAGGTTAAGGTTTACGAGTGGGCCAAAACTCGGTCACGACCAGGTCTATCGGACCTGACTCCCAACTCTAACTATCAGACACTCCAAGTGAATAAACTCTCACCAAATTTAAAATTAAAAAACCTTTTTCTCATCAATACCGCTAACATCAGTTATTTTCTTCACCATCCATTTTACAAACGAATCCATAAAAACTCTGAAGGATATAACAAAAATTAAGCTTGGGTTAAATAGAAAAATTAAGGGTCAATTAAATATCCACCCTTTCTATTTACCAAAAAATCTTTCCAAAATTTATTTTCTTTTCCAAAATATTGTGAAGTAAAATCGATAGAATAAAAATGAGGAATTTACGAAAAATATTTTTTGCTTCCAATTTTATTTTCTACTTCTTTTAGCACTTCCTTCATCTTGTGCTTTGCGCTTTGAAGATGAAGATGCAGTATTAGCTGATGAACTTGTTTGCAATAATTCACCCAATCCGAAAATGTCTTCTTCTTCTCGTTCAAACTGAAAAATTAGAAATTCTTACAATAAACTGGCAAAAAGTAAAATTGAGAGAAGAGAGCTGGACTAGACTTTGACCAAAAATTTTATTCAAAGTACATTTTAAGCAGTTCTCCTCTATATAAAAAAGTCCATTTTAACCAGTCTCACCCCCATATTAAAAAACTATTAACCTGAACAGGTCCACTTCCTCTAGGGGCACCACTTCCTTCCCCTTCAGTTCCAGAGAAACCTTTGTCTGGTACAAAGCGACTTGTATTGATTATTTTATCCAAATCAGCTCCATAAATACCACTATCAACATCTTTTCCTATAAAAATATTTTTTAAAACAAAAATATATCTTTAAAAATTTACTTGGTCGATAAATATGTTGTTGGACATTATCTTGTGGACGCCAAGGTTTGTCATATGCTGTGTAAGTCTCGTCATCAATACCACCACTGTCAAGTCCCTATAGTAAAAATTAAATAAACGAAGTTATAAGAAGGATTAAGGTTCAATGAGAAATGGAAGGGAAACGGGTCCCGTAATGTCATCAGACAGCCAGATTATGAACCGAAATTATTTAGGAACCATGTGAATCTGACCCTATATTTTTATTCATAACTGTGATTAATTAGAGATGTTCCACATGAAAACCCAAAGCTTATTTTATTTGTTAATATTCCTATAAAGATATGTGTACGTCTCCGAAGATGTATTCCTCCCTTCCCAAAATCATCATTCATTATTTTCAAAAACAAACCCCTGTTTGATTAAATAGACGAGCATCGAATTGCGTCTCACCAGACGCTCGTGCACGTGAATCAGGAAGGCCAAGCGCAATTTTTTCGGAAATGTCACGATCCTAAAAATCGAATTTAAAACACATATTTTGAAAATAAAACAAACCTTATCCCGTTTCAACTTTTCCAATTTGTCAGGTCTACTACGGGCAATATTCCTCTCTTTTCTGTGATCTTCAACTCTATCACGTCGAATGGCTTCCCTCTCCTTTGCCTCTTCCATTAATTTGTGATCTTCATCAGCTTCAGCTTTTCGTAGGGCTTGAGAACGTTGAATTCTGGCACTTTGTGCCATTTCTCTCATCCTTTTTTCTTGTTCAGTCTTCTTGTTTTGGGCAATTAGTCGTTCCATCTGAGCCCTAGTTTCGACCGATTCTCTCGCTTTCCGTTCAGCAATTGAAAGAGCTTCAGCAAATTTAGCAAAGCCCTCATTAATGTGAACTTGTTGCAATCCGCGCCCATCGGCAGCCAAACGTTTGTCCAATGCCACAGTGTACCCTTTTGGATTTTTCCAATTTGAGACGCATGGAGGAATTTTCCAATCGGCCTGTTCCTTAGCGGTGACCTGAAAAATAATTTTCTTAGCGGTGACCTGGAAAATCATCAAACCTTCCGAGTGGGTGAGTGCATTACTGGAGCAGGCGGAGAAGGCGGAGCACGGGGAATCTTCTGGTTGATTCTGAAAAAATATTATTAATCTAGATAAGTAAAGAATAAAGAAGGCAGAGGAATGGAGTATCAGCCTTCGAGTAATTTGGATCCCCTCAAATGTACAGCAAAACCGAAGTAAGACTGAGCTAAAACATAGGGCTCTCGGTACATCGACATGATCTCGCTAATATATCCTGATATTTTAAAGAAAACTAACTGAAAACGTGGCGGTTCCATTGGATCCTTCTGCTCTTCAACCAAACGAATAATTCTTTGTTGTGCTCCACTTGCGTGGAGGCCTGATTGTTGGCTAGGAGTGTAACGAATAAATTGTGGAGGCGCTGTCTTTTTTGCATGTTGAACTGGTAATGCTGCTGCGACCTAAAAATAAAAGCAATCTGAATTCCCTAAACTAAAGAGAACCTTTGTTGTTGTAATTTTTTCCAAAGCAGCACGCGTTGTCTCTGTTGTTTCATGTATTTCTTCGTCTGTTGGTTTTTTGAAACTCTCATCTTCATCATCAATATGTTTGGATTTCATATCAGAAAGGCGGGAATGGACAATCTAAAGTGATTTTATTATAAAAAATGAGGGTCTATAAACATTATTTAAGATACCTTGTCTTTTCCATGTCCAAGACGTGTAAGCTCATCAAATCGAAGTTTGCCCTCAGAGTCAAACTGAAGCGCAACTGTGTTCTTAGCCCCCGTACCGGGCTTATCCGCACCCATACCTTAAAGGGATAAATTGTTTCAAAGAACAAAGTCAAAGAAGTTAACCGATCGGAAACTGAGCAATATGTATCTCTGGAAAAGCCCCTCCATCCCCAAAATCATCCTGCGTTCGGGGCACAAATCCTTGTCGTCGACCGTATGGAGGCGGCTCTTTAATAGCAACAACTTTAGCAAATTTGTCATGAAAAGCATCTTCTCTTCCTTTAAACCAAGGATCGTTAGCATAAAGTTCGGCATTTGGTTGTTGGACATTAACGGGAGATGGCAAAATACTAAAATAAAAAATAAATTTATTAAACGACTTTAAACTCACTCTCTAAGCTTGAAGGACATTTTCAATGTTAAAGAATTTAAAATCTAAAAATCTAGAAAAAATAAACTATATTTATTAAAATGGGTTTGAAAATAAAAGTTAAACTTTTTTAAAGTAAAGAAAATGAACTAGAAATTTCATAATTTACTCATCTAAAAATCAATAATTATCCGCGAATATTTGGCCTGAGAATATTCGCAGACTTTTTATGAAATTCATAGCCGCCGTCCTTTCTCTCCAGGGAAAAAGGTGACACGACAATTGTAAAGTGGAAAAATTGTACAGGGAGACAATTGCAGCTTATTTTAATAAAAATTTTCAATTAATAAACCGAGAGCATCGGCAAAAATATGCGAAAGTTATTAAAAATTTAAAAAAATTTATTGAGCACTAAATGTTCAAATGACTTAAAGTTGCAAAAAATAATTAAAAAATAATACTCATTTTCGACTTCTTTTAACATTTTCTTTCCCATCCCCCTCGTCTGACAACTTCCTTTTAGATGCTGATGAAAATTTTGAAGTTGAACTTGTTTGCAATAATTCACCCAATCCGAAAATATCTTCCTCTTCCCGTTTAAACTGAAAAATTAAGGAATTAAAAAAAAAGAAAATTCAATATTAACCTGAACAGGTCCACTTGCTCTTTTATCAACCCCTTCAGTTCCAGAAAATCCTTTGTCTGGTACAAAACGACTTGTATTGATTATTTTGTCCAAATCAGCTCCATAAATACCACTATCAACATCTTTTCCTATAAAAATAAATTTTTTGAAACAAAAATATCATTAGAAATTTACTTGGTCGATAAATATGTTGTTGAACATTATCTTGTGGACGCCAAGGTTTGTCATAAGCTGTGTAAGTCTCGTCATCAATACCACCACTGTCAAGTCCCTATAATAAGAAAATAAATGTTATGAGAAAGTTTACGTTTCTAAATCAATTTTTTCCCTAATTAAAAGCAAAAAATTACCGCGTTTTGATTAAAAAGACGAGAGTCAAACTGTGTACCGGTAGTCGTGCGCGCACGTGAATCAGGAAGGCCAAGTGCAATTTTTTCGGAAATATCACGATCCTGAAAATCGAATTTAAATATATATTTTTCAATGATAGAAAACCTTATCCCGTTTCAACTTTTCCAATTTGTCAGGTCTACTACGGGCAATATTCCTCTCTTTTCGGTGATCTTCAACCCTATCACGTCGAATGGCTTCCCTTTCCTTTGCCTCTTCCATTAATTTTTGATCTTCATCAGCTTCAGCTTTTCGTAGAGCTTGAGAACGTTGAATTCTGGCACTTTGTGCCATTTCTCTCATTCTCTTTTCTTGTTCAGTCTTCTTGTTTTGGGCAATTAGTCGTTCCATCTGAGCCCTAGTTTCGACTGATTCTCTCGCTTTCCGTTCAGCAATTGAAAGGGCCTCAGCAAATTTAGCAAAGCCTTCATTAATGTGAACTTGTTGTAATCCGCGTCCATCAGCAGCCAAACGTTTGTCCAAAGCGACAGTGTAACCTTTTGGATTTTTCCAATTTGAGACGCATGGAGGAATTTTCCAGTCAGCCTGTTCTTTAGCGGTGACCTGAAAAATAATTCATAAAATATTTCGCAGATATTTAAACCTTTCTAGGAGGTGAATGCAACACTGGAGCAGGAGGAGAAGGCGGACCACGAGGGATTTTCTGGTTTATTCTGAAAATAAAATCCATGTGCTAATAAAAATATTTAAAGAAAACTAACTGAAAACGTGGAGGTTCCATTGGATCCTTCTGCTCTTCAACCAAACGAATAATTCTTTGTTGTGCTCCACTTGCGTGGAGGCCTGATTGTTGGCTAGGAGTGTAACGAATAAATTGTACTGGCGCTGTTTTCTTTGCATGTTGAACTGGTAATGCTGCTGCGACCTAAAGAAGAATTAGAGAATTTGGCCTAAGTACACTTTACCGGGCGATTTTAGATTTTTATGATTTATATGTCAATCGAAAGAGCTCGGCGAGCTGAGTCGAACGACATCAAAATTAGCCCGCGGACTCAACTATGAACCGAGATATGGGTCCCCAAAAATCGAAAAACCATAGGGGGGACCAAGCACTTTTTGGGGGTAAAAAATTCGAATATACTAATAGCTCATTCGAAAGGGCTCAACGAGCTGAGTCGAATGACACCAAAATCAGGTTGATTGTAAAAGTTTGGACAAAGTTACAATAGAAAAACAAACAACATAAACCTATGGGGTGTAGGCGAGGCGCTTGTGCAAAACCCCGCGCTTCGCGCGAGGTTTTGCGGCACGCGCCTCGCGGGGAGTCTACGGGCGCTGGGTCTGGGCTCGTAACATAAACCTATTCCTATCTCCCTTGCTCTGGACGTATTTGGGGCCTCCGTAGCAGCAAAAATCTCCAGATGCCATAAGTAAGGAGCTAAAATAAAAGATCATAACTTTGTCAAATCAAGTCGGATTTCGTTGATTTTGGTGTCATTCGACTCAGCTCGACGAGCTCTTTCGAATGAGGTATAATTTGCATATTCGAACTTTTTACCCCCAAAAAAGTGCCTGGTCCCTCCTATGGTTTTTCGATTTTTGGGGACCCATATCTCGGTCCATAGTTGAGTCCGCGGGCTAATTTTGGTGTCATTCGACTCAGCTCGCCGAGCTCTTTCGATTGACATATAAATCATAAAAATCTAAAATCGCCCGGTAAAGTGTACTTTAGCCGAGGCAATCCCGGAGAATAGGGGTTTCTTCGAAAAAAAAGTTTAAAAATAAGAGTTTAAAAATCACGGTAATGATTTTTAAATCACGGTAATGATTTTTAATCACGGTAATGATTTTTTTTAAAAATCACGGTAATTTTGGTGTCATTCGACTCAGCTCGTCGAGCTCTTTCGAATGAGCTATTATTTGATCAATTTGCGCTCTGTGAAAGTTTTCCCAAAATGTCGAATGTCCGAATTCAGGTCCGGGATTCGACTTTTTCAAAATCCGAGCTCAGATTCGTAATCAGCAGATTTTTTTACCCCAGAAAAATCCTTTTTCTTATTTTTAAACTTTTTATTCGAAGAAACCCCTATTCTCCGGGATTGCCGAGAATTTCACCTGAATAAAAGCAAACCTTAACAGCTGTAATTTTCTCTAAGGAAGCACGAGTTGCTTCAGTTGTTTCATGTATCTCTGAATCTGTTGGTTTCTTAAAAGTTTCATCTTCATCATCAATATGTTTGGATTTCATATCAGAAAGGCGGGAATGGACAATCTAAAGTGATTTTATTATGAAAAATGAGTTATTTAAGAAACCTTGTCTTTCCCATGTCCAAGACGTGTAAGCTCATCAAATCGAAGTTTGCCCTCAGAGTCAAACTGAAGCGCAACTGTGTTCTTAGCCCCCGTACCGGGCTTATCCGCACCCATACCTTAAAGGGATAAATTGTTTCAAGAACAAAGTCGAAAAAGCTAACCGATTGGAAACTGAGCAATATGTATCTCTGGAAAAGCCCCTCCATCACCAAAATCATCCTGCGTTCGGGGCACAAATCCTTGTCGTCGATCATATTGAGGCGGCTCTTTAATAGCAACAACTTTAGCTAAAGACAAATGCATTGTTGTTGTTTCAGATTTCTCAGAATATTGTGATTTTTGTGTAAAATCTTTTGCTTGTAATTAACAAAATAAAAAAAAATTCCTTTAAAAAAGTTTGAAAGGAAAGATTTTCACCTTTTATAGTAAAATATTTAAAAATGACAGAACGCCAGAAATAATATTAAACAAAAGCGGTAATTTAAAAATCCTTTCCATTTTCTTCTTGTTCGATACCGAACCTTTAAAATTTTTGCTTTACAATCATGTTTAGATATTTTTATGTTGTATTCGTGATACACAAAATCTCATCAAGTAGCTATAGTTCCCAAATAAAGCAGGGCTCCGATTCGTACTTTTTTAAAAGTATTGTACTTTTTTATCGACCTTCGTACTTCCGAAATTGAATTTGTACTTTTTTGAAAGTATGTACTTTTTTATCAACATTTTTGAAAAAACGAAGAAATCTGGCTTAAGGACCTCCAAAATTCTCAAAATTTTCGCCTGCGGCGCAAAAAATGGAAGAAATCTGGCTTAAGGACCTCCAAAATTCTTAAAATTTTCGCCTGCGGCGCTTCTCAATGGCAAACATTCAATAGACGAAAGAAAGAAACTCGCTTGAGGTTAAGACTGTCAGGGCTTTGCTTCTTGTGACAGCGAATTTTGACATGTCATGCAATGAAATGCACAAAATGCTCAGTGGAAACAAGAAATTATTAGAAAAGATTAATTTAGGAGAGAAATATAAAAGATTTGAGCATCAAATAAATATTTTCAAATTTAATTTTGAGTGTACTTTTTATTTGCAAATTTTCTCCCTATGTACTTTTTTTACAAGATTTTGATACTTTTGAGTGGCATTTTGTCGATCGGAGCCCTGAAATAAAGTAAAACAGAGATTATCAAAACCACTTAAAGTCATTTTCAATTTAAATTTGTGAGCCCAAATAGGCGCATGGCCAAGAAGGCGCAAAGCCATAACTAGCTGGAAAATTTCTGAACCTTAACGATTTTGGTACCAATCTCTTTAGCTCGATGAGAGATATCGTTTAATACTAAATTTTGAAGGATTCGGAAATTTTGAAGTAAGTTATGGCTTAGCGCCGTTATGGACGCGCGCCTACTTGGGCTGTAGCCTAAATTTGATTTTTAATCGACTCTCGAAAAAATTTTTTTATTTTTCGTCATGTATCTAGTATAGACTGGCAAAATCGAACTTCCGAGATCCCGAGTCGGGATTTTTTTCTTAACCGATGTCGGGACGGGATTCCGAGGGAGAAATCCCGAAAAAATCCTGGATCCCGAATGATCCCGAAAATCAAAAAATCCGGGATTTTGGGATCGGGATCCCAGAAAATCCCGTTGGGATCTCGTCCCGCGCCGGTCTCTAGTATCTATCTTTGCTTTAGTATCTTTTAAATTTTTCAGTCCAAATTTTAAGCAATTATTTTGATATGCTTGCTACATTTTCAACTCCACATATGCATCAACAAGCATTTCAACAGCGTGCTTCGACTTCAATGGAAGGTTTTTTTATTTTTGATAATGTTATTCAAATTCTCTTTTAAATTTAAGCTCCACCAGCCGAATCCAGCCCTGTGATAAAATCAATAGACCCTCAAGATGAGTCACCTTTAAAATTTGATTTTGCTTCAACCCAACCTACACAATCAAAACAAGCATTTCGATTTAAGGCTGCAACGGTTTTAAAATTTTAAGCAAAGAATAAGTTCATTTTTTTATTCCTTAGAATCGTCCAATTGATGATATACCTGAAGGCCCTGGTAGAAGATTGAGAAAAAATGTTGCGAATGTCAGAAAACATATTGATTATGTTGCTAATGTGCTTAACCACGTTGAGGTTTTTAAATTTTAACTTTTTAGATCAACTCGGTATCATAAGTTTATGATTGTTGGAATCTGACAGACCCCATTTCTTCCTCCTCAAGTTTTTTCGTATATATTTGCAAAATGTTTAGAATTTTTCCTTTCATTCCCAATTGTCCTTGTATATCTTGCCTGGAGATTAGTTTTTATTTCCCCTTGGTTGGAAGTATGAAAAATTTAAGAAGTCTGACCATTCTGTAAATATATAGGAAGAAACTTGAGGTTTGCCAGGTTCAATATTACCGGATTGTTTCCTTCTTTATCGCTAGTATTGCTATCGTCTTAAGCTTTTTATTTTTTCTCTTTTCCATTACTGAAAAGAGGAATGGAATATCATATTTTTTAGAAACGTCTAGTCAGAGGTTCAGAAATGTCCCCCGTCTCGTGTTTCTTGTCCTGAAAAGGGCCGTGTTTTGATTAGTTCGAGCACTCCTACCTACAGAGTAATGGGTCCTTTGTTTTTGAACTCTCAGTTTTCCCTCAATAAATTCACGATTTTTCTGTCTTTTCCAGTGGTGTGCCAGTTTCGCCTTTCGCTGAGGGGCGAAACTGGCACACCCCTCACCCCTGGCTTCTCCCTCCTTCCTTTATGTCTGTTTAATTTACTCAAATTGATCGATTCCTTGTTATTTCACCTTTTAATTATTCACAGGGTTTTGCTCCTTTTTGTTTCTCTTTTTAATCTCTTCTATTTTCTAAAAATTCTTTTTAAAGGACCGTTTATGGCAACATTCACGTTTTAACCGAACAGTTACTCAACCAGATATTCTCTATCAAAATTATGTTCTTCCTCCTGCTTCAATGCCAGATATTCCTGTTGATTGTGTTTTAACTAAATTTGTACGCTCTGCAATGAATAAAGTTAAATGTCCAGTTTATTCTCTTTGTTGGACGCCAGAAGGAAAACGTTTAATTACTGGAGCTTCGTCTGGAGAATTTACTTTGTGGAATGGAACTGCTTTTAATTTTGAAACTATATTACAGGTTTCTTTTTAATATTTCATGTTTTTGAGGTTTGTTGACATAAAGGGTTTTTATTTTTTTGTGCCGGTTGTGGGATTTAATGAGAATTGTAGGATAACCCCGATCCTCTACGAAATACTTTTTGGGTGTATCCTTTAAAATTTTCGTGTCCATATAGTATTGAGATTTGGACGAAAATCTTGAACGAATTTATAACTGGCGGAAGGGGTTCGTGGCAACTGCCTGATCTTTATGAAACTTTTGAATGTTTACGTCCCTGAACCATTTATTTATTCTAGTTAGATAATTTGTTATCTATAGACTAATATTATTGATGTCAATTAATTGTAGGATTTATACACCTGTATAGCTATTTTTATAGGCAAGGTTACAAACAAAATTTTTATTAATTTCATTTTCCCTCTAGTAAGCGATTTGATGTTTAAGCATAAACTTCAATTAAAACCCTGGTCCAGTTGGTTACTTTAGTTTGGTCTGACACCCTCTTTTGTCGGGAGCATGCCATTGTACCGCCGCCAAAAATTTTTATTATTTTGGCGAGTAAGTTATTCCGTGGCACCCACATCCTCCGTTCACGGAAAAACTTCCTCGCCAACATAATAAAAAATTTTGGCCGCGGTACAATAGGGTGTAGCCTCTTTCGTCATTAACTTTCTAAACTTCTTTCATTAATTTTTAAATTTTTTTTCAAGGCACACGATGTTGCTATTCGTGCAATGAAATGGTCACATAATGATCAATGGCTTGCTTCAGCTGATCACGATGGTTTTGTTAAATATTGGCAGCCAAATTTCAACAATGTTCACATGTTTCAAGCACACAAGGACGAGCCAATACGTTCATTAAGGTTCTCTTCTCTCAACTTTTTTTTCAAAAAAAAATTTTGTCAGCAATAAAAAAAATTTTTTTGTTGATAATATTGACACACAAACCTCTCTAAAAATCTTCTCTAATTTATTTTTGCCTTGATTGCGGTAAATATATTAAATGTTGAAGTAATTTTTCTTTTTTCAAAAAATTAGGGGTTATAATGATATTTTTATGGGGTTAAAAAATTTTTTTTAATTTTAATAAAAAAATATTAAAGTAAAAAAAGACAAAATCGAAATTTAAATTGAGACCTTTTTCAAAAAAAAAGTAATCATTAAAAATTAGGGGTTATAATAATTGACACTTTTTTGGGGTTAAAAAAATTTTTTAATGAAACATATTAAAATAAAGAAAATGAAAATAAAATCGAAATTTAAATTGAGACCTTTTTCAAAAAAAAAGTAATCAAAAAAATTAGTAATTTTTTGGGATGAAATGTCATCTTTTTATAAATTTGTTTTTTCGAGTTTTGACAAGTTTTTGTTTTGTAAGAAAATTAAAAATGAGTAGGAAAAAATTAGTGGAAGTTAGAAAAATTCAGTTTATTATTTTAACGCCAATAGTGAATTTTTTGAATTAAATAAATAAAAAAGGAAATTGTTTGTGTATGAACAAATAAATAAGGAAAAAAGTGTATTTTTTAAAAATAAAAAAAAATAAATTATTAAAAATTTAATTATTCGGTATAATAATAAAAGATTTGTGTAAATTAATAAGCGTTTTTAAAAATTTAATTTTACTAAAAAATTTAAATTTCGAATTTTTATAAGGCTAAAAAATCTTCAACAATTGATAAATATTTTTTTAGATTTTTTACCTATGGCAATCCTTAAAAATGAAATTTTTTTATTATTTATTTTTTTGGATTTAATATTTTTCGTATTTTGTTCAATTTAGATTTAAATATTCTTTTAATTTTTATCAGTTATAATTTGATTCTTTAGTTTCACTCTATTTCTCTTTTAATAATTTTTGTGGTGTAGTGGGATCTCTCTTAGACTTCCCCTGTAAAATGGTGTTTGTTCGATTCCCGCGGTAGAAAATTTTTTTTATTTTCTGTTTAAAGTTCTTTATTTTTTTAGGAAATTATTTAGGAATTCCTTATCTTTTAAATTTAATTATTCTCAAATTTTACGACTTTCTTTATTTCTTCTACATTTTCCAGATCCTTTTGAAGTTTTGGTTGTTTCTCGTTTAAAATTTATTCTGCTCTCTCCCTCGAAATGAAAGGAAAACTTTGAAAAGTGAGGAGGAACATTTCTTCGTTTTCTCCACTTTTTCCTAGTTTCCTCCCTATTTTCTTCCAGTTTCCACCGCTTTATTGATCTCCTTTCCTTCCAATTTTCCTCCTTTACCTTTCCCTCTCCCCTCATGTTAGTAATAGGAAGAAAAATTTTTTTCCTTTTAAATTTTCTCAAAAAAACTCATTTTTGTTTAAAAATAAAAATTTTTTTATTTTTAAGGATTGCCTTTAAAAAAATTTTTTTTTAAATTTATTTGGATAATTTTCCATTTTTTTTTATTTTGAATAAAAATTAACCTTTTTGTTTTGTTTTTCTTACAGTTTTTGTCCCACCGATGTGAAATTAGTTACCGGCTCTGATGATGCAACTGCTCGAGTTTGGGATTTTGCTAGATGCAATGAAGAAAGAGTTTTGAGAGGACATGGAGCCGATGTTCGTTCTGTCGATTGGCATCCTACAAAGGCTTTGATTGCAACTGGATCGAGAGATTCTCAACAACCGGTGAAATTATGGGATGCAAAAACTGGGCAATGCTTGGCGACTTTGTTAGTTTTTAAAAAAAAATTTTTTTATTTTTTAATATAATAAAATTGTGTGTTTTTGTCTGTCTTTTCTGTGTTTTATTATGTGTGTCTTTTGCTTAAAGTCACCTTATTGAGTGCTTTTTCATGCTTTTTGAGAAAATTTAGGGAGGGGACTTCTTTGGTGTAGTGGTATCTGGTTAGATTTTTTGATAGAAGTCAGCATGGTTCGGACCCCTTTGTCGGTACCTTTCGTTATAATTTTTCCTTGGGGTTTTCACTAGGTTTAGAATATTTTTTTAATTTTTTTTGTGTTTTAAAATATTTTTTTTCTCGTTTACGTCGTTTGAATTTGTTTAAAAATTTATTTTTTTACCTTCCAAATTTTCTAAAATTTTCCTAATTTTCAGACATGATCACAAAAACTCTGTAATGGCTGTTCAATGGAATAAAAATGGAAATTGGCTATTAACCGGTTCAAGAGATCACGTAATTAAACTTTATGATGTTAGAATGATGAGAGAAGTGCAAACCTTTAGAGGGCATAAAAAGGAAGTTACAGGTTTTTTTTCATTTTTTTTTCTCAGAAAATTTTTTTCTTCTAGCCCTCGCCTGGCATCCTGTTCATGAAGGTTTATTTGTCAGTGGAGGGGGTGACGGTGCTCTAGGTTATTGGCTAGTCAATAATGACAAAGAATTAGCTTTGTTGGAACAGGCACATGATATGGCTATTTGGACGTTGGAATGGCATCCTATGGGACATATTTTGGCGACTGGTAAATTTAGGAAAAAATTTTTTTGAACTAAAGTTGTTGGTGACCGGTTAATTTTCGCTTGTGTAGGCTCAAATATTCTCAAAATTTCCCATCTGAGCTGCTACAGGCGATAATTAACTGGACGCCACAACTGTTTTATATTTATGGAAGGGGGAGAAGGCTAGTCTTTATAGGTGGAGGACTTGCATTAGCCAACTCTTTTGGTTCATGAAACGTCTTTAATGGAAACTAGGGATTTGGATCAGGGCTGCACGCAATTGAAAAAAATTTCCGCAACTCACAATTTCTTTTTAAAAATCCGCAATTGCGTGCGGCCCTGTATTTGGATGGGAATTTCTCCTTGATTTATTTTTTTCCGTTACCTCATATCAGTCTTGTTTGTTTTCTGTTGTGGTGGGCAAGATCGATGCCTGCTCGGGGCTGAAACGTTTTTCACTTATTGAAGAGACTTTTTTTTTTATAAAAATTCTCTTTTTTCATTAAAAAATAAATTTTTTTTTCAATTTTAAAGGATCAAACGATAATAACACCAAATTTTGGACTCGTAACCGTCCAGGAGATACTCAAGAAGATGTTTTTGGAATGACCACAGTTTTTTTTCAATTTTTAATTTTTAAAATTATTTTTGTTTTAAAAGGTTGGAGGTTTGTTCAGCTCCTCGTCTGTTCATAATTTTGATGATGAAAGAGAGCCTATTCCAATTACAACAGAGGAAGATTCAAATGCTCCACCACAAATACCTGGTTTTTTTTTTAATTTTTTGGAAAATTTGTATTTCTAAAATTTATTTGAGGCTAATTTGATTAACAAAATTTTAAGAAAAATGCAAAAAAACCAAAATAAAAAAACTTTTCTCTGAAAGGGTTCGAACCTTCACCCCTTTTTTGTTAAAATCTAAGGTATATACCACTACACCAAAAGATGGAGGGACCAAAATTAATGTTAACTGGTTGGAACAAACAATAAATAGGTTTCGGCGATTGAGAAAATCATTTACGTATATTAAGATTTTAATGCAAAAAGAGGGGTGGGTGCGAACCTTTTTAGTGGAAAGAAAACTTTTTATTTAAATTTATTGCTTGATTTTTTCTTTTTAAAAAAGGTTTGGGAATTGATGAACCAATGCGTAGAGAAATGAATAAAGATTTTGGTACAATACTTACAGCAACTTCCCTTCCTGGACTTGGAGGGCCTACAAATACTTCAACTTTTGATCAAAATAAAAAACAAGGAGGAGGACAATTTGGGGGGAGACAACAACCAAAAAGAAATCAAAGACAATTTGAGAGAATGTGGATGGGTGAGGGGAATATTTTTTTTGAATTTATGAGTAAATTGCAGGAGGATAATCTTAAAAGAATAATTTAAAAATACATATTTTTTTAAGAATTTCTTAAGTCACATTTATTTTTTATTTTTGAGTAACAAACCTACTGCCAAACTTTCAAGCCCCATAACTTTTTAGTTTTATATTCCTAGCCAAAAAACCCGAAAATTTTCTAGAGTAAATCGATGCTGCTCTATCTATTGATATTAAAAAAGTACAGCATTTTGACTTACAGTTCGAAAGGTTCCCTTGTAAGCCATAATTATTTTTGAATTTACTCATACTAGGTGGTTCACTTCTTTTAACAAGGGAAAGGGTAGAAATCATGTGATAGGATGGGTTAAGAAAAAAGTCAGATTGGAGTTTGGGTCGAAAAAGTAATCCCTCACCCCTGGTCTATCCTTTCAATAAGCCTTCCAATTTTGAGAGAATATTAATTTGTTTTTCAGTTGCCCGGCCCAGTGGCGGTCAAGAAACATTTGAAGATTATGAACAAGAAGAAGATGAAGACTTACAACAACAACAATATTTAAATAATGAACAATCAGGAGGAGGAGGTCCTCCTCCCCCACAACATTTTAATTATTTACCACAACAACAACAAAATCATTTAATCCGTCCACCACTTCCTCCTCCACAATTTTATCATCATCAAACACTTCCTCCTCCACAATTTACTCGGCCTAGAGGAGGTTTTTATCCTCAACAACCAAGTCTACATTCTATGAAACAATCACAACAACAACGTCCAAATTTTCAACGTTTTCCCCCTCCACGATTTTTTTGAAAAATTATTTTTTTTTGTATTGTAATAGAGAAATTTTTTTGTGTGAATGGAAAATAAAAATTTTTTGTTTTGAAGAAAAATCTTTTTTATTTTAATTTAGTTTTAGGGTACTCTCAAAATTATAATATTCAATCTCAACTGGGCCGGAGCCGGCTCTGTAGCCATACCCAACTTTGGTGCTGTCATTTCAAATGATACGTGGAATCCAGCTAAGCCTGCCTCCCTTCAGTAAAGCAGCCGGGCTATAGCTGTTTCTCTCCTTCGGCTAGTACAGAAGGTTATTCGGCGGCTGGGAACGAACCAGCATCTTCAGTAGACCGGGCTGATGTGTTATTCATTACACCACGCCGTCTACTGCACAGCCTTTAGGAATCAAATAGCTGGCTTTACACTACTCACAATTCGCTTTCTTTCATATATCCACAAAGTTAGTAGAGATTTGCCTCTTCTGTATCGTTTACACCTACATGTATGAATTCTTGACCCAAAAATCACCCCTCTTCCGTAAAATTACCCGCCCCCTCCCGTATTGTTTTGGCTTCTCATCGGCTGAAAATAAGGAAAAAAAGGTTAAAGTATACCGTTTTGAGGGCAATCCAGGAGAATTGGGGTTTCTTCGAATAAGAAGTTAAAAAATAAGAAAAAGGGTTTTTCTAGGGTAAAAAAATACGCTAATTACGAATCTGAACTCGGATTTTGAAAAAGTCGAATCCCGAACCCGAATTCGGAATTTGACTCCGGACATTGTTGGACATTGTACAAAATGGTCAGTCTTTCATATGCTGGTAGAACTCATCGAGATGCATCGAATGACACCAAAATCGATGAAATCCGACGTGGCTGGACCGAGATACAGACGCCGGAATATTAAAAAATCATAGGGGTGATTTTTTGGAGTAAAAAAAGTTTATACATATGATGCCTCATTCGAAAGAGCTCGTCGAGCTGAGTCGAATGACACAAAAATTACAGTGATTCATCAAGTTTTGACAAAGTTATGACATAAGTCGCCGACTCCTACAGTACTACCATAGGTATACTTTATGTAATAACTTTGTCGAAACAGGTCCGATCGCGTTGATTTTGGTGTCATTCGATGCAGCTCGACGAGCTCTTTTGAACGAGCTATCATTTGCTTATTCGAAATCCGGGTTCAGGGTCCGAAATTCGGTTAAATTTCGGTTAAATTCCCTCCCTAACAAGGAAGGTCTATCACCTGATTTTATATCCTATAGATTTTTAAAGAATTGTTCTGTTTCTTTAGTTTCTTATATATCTGAGCTTTTCAGAATTTCCCTTGACTCTGCTATACTTCCAAATATCTGGAAGGAATCTATAATAATTCCACTTTTTAAAAAAGGAAATAAGGAACTAGTTTCTAACTATCGTCCAATTTCTATTACTTGCTCATTATGCAGAGTAATGGAAAGATTTATCTTTAATGGAATCCTAGAATTTCTTTTAGAAAATAATATTATATCTCCTCATCAATTTGGATTTCTCCCAAGGAGATCCACTACTACACAACTGATCACCACCTTAGAAGATTGGTTTGATGGAATATTTTCTAATAAAAACATAGATTGCATTTATTTAGACCTTAGAAAAGCTTTTGATTCTATCCCACATGACTTACTTTTATATAAACTCTATAAAATTGGTGTTAGGGGTAAAATATACAATTGGTTTAAAGAATTTTTAACAAATAGAAAATACCGTGTAAAAATTAATGATAGTTTTTCATGTTATTACAGTGCACCTTTGGGTGTACCACAAGGCTCTGTCCTTGGACCATTATTATTTATTATTTATATAAACGATCTTCCAGATATTATTCCAAAAGGCATATCTGTCAAATTATTTGCTGATGATATTAAGATATATTTAATTCATGATTCATTAAACCAATGTAATATACTAACTGAAACAATCACTAATATTGAACTTTGGTGCGATCAATGGGGTATTAATATTTCCTCAGATAAATCTTATGTTCTCTATCTTGGTAAAAATAACCAAATGCACAAATATAAAATTGGAGATAATATTATTATGGGTTTAGATTCTATAAGAAATTTAGGAATTATAATTGATAATAAATTATCCTTTCAAAAACATTTTGACACAATTGTTCGAAATGCTTATTATCGTATGAAAATTCTATTTAAAACTATTAGATCTAGGAGCATTAGAACTTGGACATTAGTCTATAAATCTTATATCAGACCCATACTTGAATATGCACCCGAAATCTGGAACCCTCATTTCAAAAAAGATATAATACAAATTGAAAAATGCCAAAAATTCTTTACATCTATTGCTCTCAAAAAATGCATGTTACCTAAAATTCCTTATCCTGAAAGACTTCAACTTTTTGGATTACAATCTCTTAATACCCGCAGAAAAATTTATGACCTCGTAACTGCATTTAAAATTATTAAAGGGTTTACCCATTTAGATCCTACTCACCTATACCGATTTTCTACTCATCCATCTCATAAACAATTTAATAGACTTATGTTTAAATGCAGATCCTCAAAAAACGCTCATTCCTTTGTTAATAGAAGCTCTTCACTATGGAATACCCTTGATAAAGTTACATTAAACTCCCACTCAATATTGTCCTTTAAACACAGAATTACTCAACTATTTATAAACGAAATATAAAAAAAATAGACTAAGTATTAAAATAAAAAATATGGTAATTTCCCCAAAAATCATTTACAAAAAAATTTCTACATAAAAATCTAATAACCTAAATTAAATTATATTTTTACTACACTATCTATACATGTGTGGCTTCCCCAATACTCAATATAGTTAATTTTTTACACTAAAATCTAACTGTCAAATAATTAGAAAAGAATTATTACTTTTTTAGAAATTATTATATTTTACTATTAAATACATACCAATTTTTTTCTATTATTTTACAGTTGGAAAGACCTATCACAATATATTTTTTATTTATTTTTTAAAAAAACTTTTTTTATATTTAATAATTGATGTTTTGTTTTTATCCTTTGACCTCCCATTTATGACTTTTTTTTTTGACTTAAACTTTATTTAAATTTATCCGACAACGATGTTAGTGGACTCCCTTTCGTTGTATATTTTTAATTTTTGAATAAATAAGAGGAAAAATAAGAGGACATTGTTGGACATTGTACAAAATGGTCAGTCTTTCATATGCTGGTAGAACTCATCGAGATGCATCGAATGACACCAAAATCGATGAAATCCGACGTGGCTGGACCGAGATACAGACGCCGGAATATTAAAAAATCATAGGGGTGATTTTTTGGAGTAAAAAAAGTTTATACATATGATGCCTCATTCGAAAGAGCTCGTCGAGCTGAGTCGAATGACACAAAAATTACAGTGATTCATCAAGTTTTGACAAAGTTATGACATAAGTCGCCGACTCCTACAGTACTACCATAGGTATACTTTATGTAATAACTTTGTCGAAACAGGTCCGATCGCGTTGATTTTGGTGTCATTCGATGCAGCTCGACGAGCTCTTTTGAACGAGCTATCATTTGCTTATTCGAAATCCGGGTTCAGGGTCCGAAATTCGGTTCGGGTTCGGGATTCGACTTTTTCAAAATCCGAGTTCAGATTCGTAATCAGCATATTTTTTTACCCTAGAAAAATCCTTTTTCTTATTTTTAAACTTTTTTTTCGAAGAAACCCCAATTCTCCTGGATTGCCGTTTTGAGTACTCTCATAGTGATATTTGTAATCAGCGCATTTTATTTCACAAAGACTTTGTTGTGACCGAAAGTCGGGACAAGTTTCTGTTCGAAAAAAAAGTTCACTATAAAAGCCAACCTTAAAATACTATAAAAGGCTTTGTTTTCTTCACTCTTCACCTTTCAACAAAAATATTTTTTCAAAGCAATTATTTAAACAACGTTCAAAGCAACATCAAAACAACAGCAAACAAAATGTTCTTTTATTTAATTCGACAAGAAGAGTTTAAAGACGGTTCGAGAACAAGAAAGTCTTCTTCATTTCTGCGCTCGTCGACTACCAACATTTTGCCAACTCTCTTTGCTTCTTTGGTTTTTTTGTTTCTTCTCGGGCAGGTTAAGGGTGATGATGGTGGTGGTGATGGAATCCCTGTTGGGTTTTTCAATCACACGCTGAAAGATGGAATGGTTACACTTTCTGAGGGAACCGTGGAAGTCAAAAAGACCAATCATAAATTGTTCACGAATCATTCTGGAGCTTGTGAAGTTACTTTTGAAGGCAATTTCATGTGAGTTTCCTTGAGAATAGTCTTAAAATAAATTTGACGTTTTCAGCGTGCTCCACTACAAAAAGGAAAGCATCGCGGCGAGGAATGGTTGCAAAGTGGACTTGCTCACCAACCTTCAGAACATGATTTATTTCACGACCGAAGTGAAGCACAGCGATGTGATTGAAAAATGCCTGGGGAAATGTAAAGGATCAAATTTTTTTGACGGAAGTAGTGACAATCTGTAAGTTTTCAGTTGATTAGGGTGATAATCTATTAAATATATTTTAGTTTGCCTTTCGCCTACAGCACAACAGAAGATAAGAACATCATGGAATTAACAAATGGACCAATTTATAAAGAAAATGTGACATGTTCTGACGAATGGGAGTGCCAAAACAGTGGTGGAAGATGTATGCCGTGGACTTCTCTTGAGGTTGCGTGGACCAAATGCAAAAATAATATCCTTGCTCACATCCATCCAAGTATGTTGAACTATTTTTTATAGAATGTTTTGATAATTTTTTTTAGTTGGTGAAGTTCGGGCACTTTGGAGGCGACACAAGATGTACGACCAAAATGAGACAGAATTGTTTTTCAATTTGAATATCACAAAAGATGGCAATTTCATAATGGACTTTGATGGAAAACAGATGATGAACTATTTCGAGTCAGAGAATCACGCTGTCTGCATTCCTGAAGGAAAAGGCATTGCCGAACCTGTTACATGGGAAATCAACGGCACTCTACCGAATTCGAATTATGCGAACTTGCTGGTCTTCCACATGCTTCCACAAAAAGCATCACGAAAATACAATGATGGGCAAATCAAAAAAGATGATCTTCCTGATGGTCCAAAGTGTGATGAACTTTCTATCAAATTTGTAAGGATCATCACCTATAAAATCTCAAACTTTCCCTTTTCTATTTAGCATATGGATAACTACATTTTGTTGACCAATGAAGACTTCATCGCTCCATTAACAACAACAACGGCAACCACGACTAAGCTTCCCGAACCGACCAAAAGTGATGATCGTGAAATCCCTTTTGGGTTTTTCAATCACACGCTGAAGGGTGAAATGGTTACTCTCGCAGAACGAGTCGGGGAAGTCAATAAGGACAACCTTAGTTTGTACACGAAGCATCCTGGAGCCTGTGAAGTTACTCTTGAAGACAATTTCATGTACGACTCCTAAAATAATTTTAAAATAAATTTGACATTTTCAGCGTGCTTCACTACAAAAAGGAAAGCAAAGCGGCGAAGAATGGTTGCACTGTGGATTTGCTCTCGCGTCTTCACAACATGATCAAGTTGGAAACTGGAGTGGAGAACAAAGGAGGGATTGAAAAATGCCTTGGGAAATGTTCTTCAGAAGATTTGCCTTTTAATGGAAGCAGTGCCAATCTGTAAGTTTACATTTGTTTGGGAGGATAATATCTTAAAATTTTATTTTTAGTTTGCCCTTCGGCTACAGCACAACAAGAGACAAGAACATCACAAAGTTGAAAGTAAATGGACCGTTGTATGATGCTAAGGAGGAAAATTGTCATAATCAGGAGGAGTGTGGAAAGTCGGCAGAGTGTATGAGGTGGACTTCTCTTGAAGCTGCGTGGACTTCCTGCAACAATAAATCCTTTGCTCACGCCCATCCAAGTAAGGATAAATATAGTCTGCCTTATTTTGATAATTTTATTTTAGTGGGTGAAGTTCTAGCCGTTTGGAGTACCAGCACGAAGTTCGACGCAAAAGCCAAACAGTTATCCTTCGGATTGACTATAACGAAGGATGGCGATTTCATAATGGACTTTCGTGGGCAGAAGATGGACTATGCCAAATCGACTAAAATAGCTCATTGCCTCCCTAACAATACGTTCGTAGCCGAGCCTGTTACTTGGAAAATCAACGGGACAGAGCCAAAATCGAATCACAACAACTTGCTTGTCTTCCATATGCTTCCACAAGAATCGGCGCGAATCAACAGTGGTGACGAAAGCAATATAAGGGTATTTCCTAAAGGACCAGAGTGTGATGAGCTTTTTATCAAATTTGTAAGGATTTTCAAATTCTTATAAAATTTCAAAATTTTTCCTTTTTCTATTCAGCATACAAAAGACTACACTTTGCTGGGACAAAAGGATCCACTTCCAACAACAACAACAACGTCACCACTACCGCCAACACAGACCAGGATCAACACATCTAAAAGGACTTCAACATCAAGGAAAAAACCTCCTCAAACCACGACAACACCTAAAACAACAACCACATCTGATCCTGGCTCTGGAAACTTCAAATTCGTTGCCACGACTACGTTCATTGTTGCTTTTTTTATATTTGTTGGCGGCATCTATTGTCTTTTTAATGTCTCCGCTGACTACACAAAGAGTGACATGCAATACTTATTTCGTGGAGAACTTCTCGATATAGAGATCGCGCTTATTCTACGCCTGGGATTTTTTGTTACAAGCTTCCTTGCGCTACTTTCTGGCTACTTCAAAGTTATGGTCTACCACATGGATACTTATACAATCTACCAGACGCCTCCATACATCCACTACTTAATACCAATTTCAATCTTCATTGGCCTTCTTCTTATCACTTCAATCTTCAACTGTTACTACAACCACTTGAAGAAGAGAAACCGAAGGAGGATTGAGGAACGCAAAGAAGAAGATCGGAGGGAGGCTCGTCGCCAAGATGCTTATGCTAGATGTGCCCGCAACATGGCACGAATGAGGATGCAAAGGAAGAACGTGAGTGTAAATTCTTTTAAAAATCCAAAAATTTCCTCTCTTTTTCAGAAATACTATAATCAACCAACTTCATCTCAAAACACCAATTCCTCGAGTGTGAACAAAAATTCGGATCTTTTGAGCCTCGAAAGGGACAGCGATTTGTTGGAGGATGATGATAATACTGCTATTGAGATCTTAAAGACGGGTAAAAGTTTGGCTGGAACAGAGGAACCAAATGAAGGAAGGGCTGAGGAAGTGAGTCGAAAAATGAATTTTAAACTGAAATTTTTTTACTTTTTAAGATTGATCAGCAGAAGAAGAAGAGTGTTGTTCACGAACCGGCGGAAATTAACTGGAAGGCGGCAGAAGAAGCAAAGAAGAAGAAGAAAATTAGGAAGAGTGAGAAGAAGAAAAGATTTGGATAGGATATTTCACCAAAATAAATTTAAAAAATAGGTATCCCCTCCCCTAAAAATAAATAAATATTTTCCTATAAATTACTGTATTTGTCCTTAAATCTACCTGTGATAATCATTATTTTTCTGTAATTATTTCCCCAAAAAATTATCTTAGAATTTTAACTGTAAACTTAAATTTTTTTTATTAGAAGAGTTTGTAATTTACACCAAAATTTTTATTCAACTCATAAATGTTTACGGACTCATAAACTAGAATAGAACCCAAAAAAAACAATTTTTGAGGAAAAAAATTTTTTTATTCAATATTCTAATAACCAAAGAATAATTTAAAAATCAATATTCTTCAACTTTAAGTTTCCTTGGAAATTCCATATGATTTTCTTTTGGGCCGCTAGGATAAATTTTAGCAGCGGGGAATGGTTGGCCAAAAAGGCTAGATTCAGTCTGAACATGTTCCAACTCTTCCGGTTTTGTTATAATTTCAATTCCGTCGTCGAGAGCCATTTTTTGTGTTAAATCGATTAATGACTTTAAAAAGAAAAATAAATTTTTAATAGAAAAAATCCGCAATAATTTTGCGGACAGTCCGCAAATATTTTTGTGGACTGAACTATTCTTTTTCTAAAATTAGCCCTTTTTGACTGATTTAGTTATTAAAGGCATGAGGGGAGAATTGGGATGAGGAAGGAAGATTGGAGGGAGGAAAGTGTTTCTAAAATTCACTTCCCTGATTTCCTCCCAAAATATTTTTAAGAAAAACCTTAAAACTCTTCGGTTCATAAATAGCCAATTGAACAAGTATTTTATCTTCCAAAAGTATATGGGCTTTTTCCAACATTGATTTAAATGTTTCAATTTCCACAAAATGTTCTTCTAATGCTGCTTTTAATCTTTGTTGATTGTACTTTAAATAATTAAAAGGGATTCTGAACTAGAAGCAGGTGAGCGACAAGAATCCCGCTCAGGATTTTGCGGGATTTATTAGCAAAATTCTGTTCCACAAAAATTTTGAAAAAAATCCCGCAAATGATTTTGTCGGTCTCAATTCTGAACAGGTCCATTTTTATATATTTGGCCATTTTTGTCAATCTATTTAAAAGGCGTTTCAGAAATTTGATTTCAAGGAGAGAAGAGAAACGGTAATATTCAATTTCGTTCCCCCTCTCCTTTTTCCATCCTCAAAGTATTAAAAAATGGTCAGTCTGACTTAAGTTATAGAACTCGTCGAGCTGAGCCGAATGACACCAAAATCAAAAAAATCCGACTTGATTTGACCGAAATACAGACCCCTGAAAATTGAACAACCAAAGGGGCGAAAAACCAAAAGGACGGAAAAGTATACAAATGATAGCTCATTCGAAAGAGCTCGTCGAGCTGAGCCGAATGACACCGAAATCAACGTAATCAGACGAGTTTTGACAAAGTTATGACATAAGGTTGCCGACTCCGGTAGGTCTAAATAATGCCATAACTTTGTCAAAACTCGTCCGATTACGTTGATTTCAATGTCACTCGACTCAGCTCGACGAGTTCTATAACTTAAGACAGATTGACCATTTTTTAATACTTTGAGGATGGAAAAAAGGGGGGGGGGATTTTTGGTATTTTATAGTTAGTTTAATACCAAAAATTGTTTAAAAAAGGATAAAGTAAAATATTAGATAAAGGTCAAATCGACCAAACCTCAAAATTAAATTTTCTAAATAAATGGAATTTGAAAAAAGTCGAGCAGTTTTTTGACACGTAAAAGCAAAAAATACTAAATATTTTTAAAGACTAAACAACCCACAAGAAATTGAAAAAAAGGATAATTTAAAATCCAAACAAACATGTCTTTCCAATTTCGGGGCATCTTGTCTTTGCATATCCATATAAATAAAAACTTTGTTAAGCTTTCGAGATCCTTGCTTGACTGTTTTTAAATCTTGACCGTATTGCCACTAAAAAATTGAAAAAAAAAATTTAATTTTTTAAAAAATTTGCAGAAATCCGCAAGTTTTGTCCGCAAATTTTATTTTTATTAAATGCGGACAATAATTGCGGAAGTTTATTTAATCAAGCAAAGGATGTTTAGAATTGTGTGATTTTATATAGTAAAAAAAATAAAAAATTTTTTATAAAATCCAAACCGCAGTAAAACGTTTAAGTCGTTCTCTTTTCGGCCAAATTGAAGGTTTTGGAATTATATGAAAAGGATGATAACTTCCATAAAGTATTCGTCTTAAACCTAATACATCAGTTAAACGCATTTTTAAAAATCTAAAAATTTAATTAAAAAAATTTTTTTAAGAGAATAAAAAATTGAAAAAAAAGTAGATTGAAAAAGGCCCAATTAGGCGCACGGCCATAACGGCGCAGAGCCATAAATTGTTTCAAAATTTCTGAATCTTTCCAAATTTAGTATTAAACGATTCCTCTCATCGAGCTAAAGAGATTGGTACCAAAATTAACAAGAGTCGGAAACTTTCTAGCAAGTTATGACTTTGCGCCGTTATGGCGGCGCGCCTAATTGGGCGTGAAACACATTCCCCCTTTTAAAAAATAAATAAAATTAATTAATTTGGCGAAATGTTTATTTTTAGATTATTCTTTTATTTGTCTATTTCTCTTCTGTTAAATATTTCTTTTTCTTTTTTTCTTTTCTATTAAATATTTCCTAGCTTCTTTTACTCTATGAATTTTTTGTTTTTATTAAATTCTTTTAATTTTTATTTAGTTTTTGATAAATTAATTTATTTGTTTATATGAATTTCTTTTGTTTCTTTCATTTTTATTTGTTTTAAAATAAGTTTAAAATTTTATTTATTTATTTTCTATTTATTACATCGATATTTTTCTTTAATTATTTTTTATTACCAATTTTTGTTTACTACTAATTTGTTATTTTCTTCATTTATTTCCACTTAAAAAATTTTTTTAAATTATTTTGTCTTTAAAATTTTTTTAGACCTTCCAATTAATTCAAGTACCTGCTTATTTTTAAATCTACGTGTCTAATCCTTAACGAAAAATTTCTGGACCCGAACCTCAAATCCCGACATTTAAGTAAGAGATAGAAATTGCTTTTTCCTCAATAGTTGAGGAATAAATAGAGTATTTTTTGTTTTTTATCCTCTAGCTGGATAGAGGGTGATTAAGGGGGAGAGCATTTCCTGTGTCCGCTTCTGCTGCTAACCCAAATATAATTTTAAAAAATAAAATTTCGAATTAAATTCTTAGGGAAATTTTCAAAAAAATTGTCAGAACTTCCTTTTATTTTTTGTAATTGTTCACACAAAAAAAACTTTCAAAAAATTTGTAATAAATCTATAAACTTGTCTACATTTTTTTGATACATACACGCGCGGCAAACACGTAAATCAACACAAAATAAAATAAAAATTATTTTAGAGAAAAGCGAAAATGAAGAAGAGAAAATAATAAAAGTAATTATTATTTTTTCTTTTCTTTTTTAATTTTTTTCTCGAATAAATTACACCGGTTTTGCCCTTATTTTCTCTGACTATATCATCACAAAAATTATATTGTTTTTTAAATTATTTTATTGGTAGGGGGTTGTTTCGGCGCCGGAATGTTTTTGGCGCGCACCTCAAAAAATTAGCCCTAGCTAACCCCTAAATTTTTGAAAATTTTTTCTAAAAATTTTTTTAATATCCTTGACCTACACCTCTAAAAGTTTCAGAATTTTTCATAAAATATTTTTCAACTTATAGTCGATAAACCTCGAAAAATGGTCATTTTTAGGGTAAATTTGACATTTTTTGGTCATTATTTATGTATGAGATATGGAGCCAAAAAATGAAAAAAATTTTTTTTAATTTTTGGCGAACGTAAAAAAACTACGAAGTGTTATTTTCTTTAAATTTTTATTCTTCTACCTAATACATAAATTTGTTGTAATTTAATTTTATAAGCTTGCGCCGTAAATGACCTCGCGCCCTAACGACACAGCCCTTTTATTGGTTAATATTTTTAATTTTTTTTTGAAAAAACAATCGTGTATTCGTCATTTTTAATTTTTTAAATTATTTTTTCTTTAATTAAATACGCAACCCTTTCAAAATTTAATTTCTTCAAATTCTCACTTTTCTAAAGTTTCTTTTAATTTTTAATTAAATAATTCCTTTAAAGATACTTTTAAAAACAAATTTCCAAGAAAATTTTTTTTGGAATTTTTTAAAAATTTTCTTTTTATTTTTTTATTTATTTTTCCACCATTTGCAGGCAAAAAAATATTTTTTTTCTGTTTTCTTTTTATTATTAAAAGCCTTCTTTACCAACCCCACACATCTGTGTCCCCTTTTCTTTTATTTTGTGAATTTTTAATTAAAAAAATAATTTATTTTCTATTGATTCCAACAAATTATTTTAACAATATTAAACAGAGAGAAAATAAATTTTAATTTTGTTTTAAAAAAGAAAGAAAGAGCTTAATTGTGTTGTTTGGCCAATTAAGTGCTATAGTGACACTTTGATCGATTTCAACTTTTTTTTCCCACTTTTGATCTGTTCTCTTAATGGGGTTCTTTAAAATTTTTCTTTCATTATCGTTTGAAAGCCGTCGATAAGCAAAAAAATATTTTTGATTTTTTTAAAATTTCAATTTTTCCCTAAAAACTTTTCTTTTTTTTTGCCTAGGGAAGCCTTTTATTTTACTAGAACCAAAAATTTTTTTAATTATTTTATTATTTTTTTATTTAATCTTTTTCTAAAATATTTAATCCTCCCTCCCATTACATGTTTATTCTTTTTTTTTTGTCAATTTAAAAATTTCTTTTAAAAAAATAATCTCTCATCATCATTTAAAAAATATTTTTAATTACATATTTTAATAACAATTAAAAAAAAATATTTTTTTTGATTTATGAAACCTTAAAAATTTTATTTAAATAAAATTGAAAATTTATAAATAAATGTCACAGGGTATCCGATATTTCAAATTCTAAACTCGGACAATTTTTTTATTTTTTTTTTCAATTTTTCTCAACCTCCGAAAAAATTAAAACCCCAATCCGAAATCCTTCCCGATTTTTTTTCGCTCCCATTGGCATCCTTGTTTATACACTTGCGGACTGTCCGCAAAAATTTTGCGGACAGAATTTTTTAATTTTTTTTTAAAATTTTTTTGGAATTCCTCTCGTTTATTTTTAACGTTAAAATGTCATTTATTAAAAAATTTTATTTTTTTCAGATTTTTATTTAAAAATTATATATATATTTTTATTTATAATTTATGAGAACATCAATATTTTCCATTTGCTCACTTGCCGTTTGTTTAAGAAGAATTTTATTGCTTTCAGTTGCTTCTTGTTTAGTTTATTTGGCTTTGTGGAATTTTTCTTTTCCGTCAGAATGGTTTTTTAAATTTTTTAAAAATTTTAAAAAATTTTCAGGAAAAATCCATTAATTTCCCCCTCTACACAATATCGCTCTTTGTTGTCTAATGATAGGTGGAAGGATAATGAAAGGAGAAAAAATGATGAAATGAAAAGGTTGTTGTTTTTTAAATTTAATTTTGTGAGTAAATTGTGTTAGGAAATTTTTGAAAGAAAAATCCGCAAATATTTGCGGGCAAAATTTTTATTTTTTTGTTTTGATTTCTTTATACAAGGGAATTTTGGGAAAATAAAGAAATGTGGGGTATTACTGCAGTTTCCCGACCTTGTGATTTAAATTTGGTTGAATTTGAGGCAAATTGTTACATGATGTTCCAAGGGTGTAGCTAGGGGGTCGATTTCAGGGGGCTTTGGCCCCAGAAGCCCCCTGTCTTCGCCCTTGTGATGTTCGATAAGTCTCGTCGACCCAAACTATTCCACCCAAAAAATAAAAAATAATTTAAAAATATAAGTCCGAACAAAAAATTAAGAACCTATTCCAAATAAGTCAGTAAATTAATCACAATTTGCGGACATTTTTTGCGGACTTTTTTTATTTTTTATTTAATTAGAATTTTATCCCTAAAAATTAATTCTCAATTTTATTTTAAAAAATATTTAATTTTTAAGGCCACAAAATTCACTAAATTCTAAAGACGAAAGGCCACTAAATGATTTAACAGAAGCTATCAACTACAATAAATTGGATAATTTATTGTTGGAAACCGCAGCTTCTAAATCTATTTTAATGGGGGCAATTAAATTAGAAGAAGTTACAGAAGCACAACAACAAAAAGAAAAGGTTTATTTTATTTTTAATCAGAATTTTAAATAAAATTCTGAATTTTTTGTTCGGTCTGTTCACGTCCTTTTTAAATTAAATTTCTGAAATAAATATTGTAAAATACATTCTGATTTTTTAAAATAATAATTCTAAAGTTCTGATTTTCTTTTTTTTCTAATTCTGATTTTGGAATTATTTTAAAATTCTGATTTTAAAAAATACTTTTATTGCCTAGGTTTATGCTTAAAGTTTCTGAAATAAATTATTTTGTAAAATACATTAATTCTGATTTTTTTCGAAAAATACATTTCTGATTAAGATTTCTGATTTCTGGAGTTCTGACTTATTTTTATTTTTTAATTTTAATTTTGAATTTATTTTAAAATTCTGATTTTTATAAAAATACATTAATTCTGACATTTTTAAATTTTTCTGATTTTATATTTAATTTAATTTAAATATATTTTTGATATTCTATGAAAATTTGATTAGATAATATTTTTTAAATTTTTTTAAAAATTTAAAGGAACTTCCTCCACAATTATCAAAATCGGAATATTGCCCTGAATTGGAAAAGAATATTTATTTAAAAGGACATATTGGCCAGGCAACCCTTTTAATTGAAGAATTGGAAGAAGGGGAAGTGGCTAATGCAAATACTGATTTGGATCCGGGGGGAAGTTGGAAACCTTTGAATTGTACAGCCAGACATAAGGTTTTCTTGAAATTTTATTTTTTATTAGGGATGTCCTTGGGGGTTTTTTCAACCCGAAATTTGAAAATTAATTTTATTTCCCATTAGGAATGTCTTTGGGGTTTTCCAACTCGAAACCCCGTTCGAAGGAAATCTTGAAATCCGACCTGACTTTTTTTCTTAATCCATACATCCCTGTCAGGGGTGAGCGCATTACGTTATTTGCGTTAAATTTTGGCCTTACGACAGTGAGATTTTCTTTTGTGCTGACCTCTGATCCCTTTTGTTTGTTGGTTAGTGGGTAGAGGTTGATCTTTGGAAGGTGAAGATTTTTTTGTCTTTTCTGGAATCTTCCAAAATTTCAAGTCAGAATTTGAATACTACCTACATTTGTTGGATTAACCCAAAAAATTTGGTATTTTTTCGAAATAAAGAATAAAAACGGATACGAAAATCGAAAATATTTCGAAAAAAAAGATTATCAACATATTCAATTTTTATATATTTATATTTTTAGATGGCAGTTATAATTCCTTATCGAGACAGAAAAAGTCATTTGGTTCGTTTATTGGATTTTTTGATACCTCTACTTAAAAGGCAATTTCTCGATTTTCGATTTATTGTTACTGAACAGGTTTTTAATTTTTTGTTAATTTTTTGGTAATTAAACTAGCATTCTTTTAGGTTATTTTTCGGGGAATTTTATCTCCAAAAAAATTTTTTTTCTATTTTATTTGGATATACCCCGATCTAATTTGCCGATTTGTCTCTAATACAAGCCCTGGGCTTCCATTTTTCAATTCCTCCCCTTGAGTGGGATTCTATTGGGCATGGGCCTCTATTAGAGACAATCCTGTGTCTTATTGATCTGCACATAAGTAGGATTAAGTTGATTTTGACATGATTCGACATGTCTTTTCGATCGTGTCTAATGTTACCAAAATCGACTTGGGTTGGCTATTTTCTCTTTAAACACTGATGGTAACCTGAACAGCTCCCTTTCTTTAACTTTCTTCACAAAATCATAAAATATTTTTAATTTTTATTTATTTAGAATGGTGACAATCTCTTCAACAAAGGACGTATAATGAATGCCGCCTTTTTATTTGCCCAACAAAAATTAAATGTAAATTGTGTTGTCTTTCACGATGTTGATATGTTTCCACAAGATGATAGAACACCTTATGAATGTCCAATAATTAATGAACCTAGACATTTGGGAGCATTTGTCTCTTCTTTGGGATATCAGTAAATTTTTTTTTATTTGTAATTTCTGGATAGTTACCGATCCTTTTTCTTTTAAATTCTGCCCCTTTTTATTGGGTCAAGGTCGGGGATGGAATTAAGGTTGCCGTTTTTGAGGCGGGCCGACGTTCGAGTAATTTTTCGTGCCTCATCTTTATCGGACCGGCCCGACCGAATCTTTTTCGGGCCAAAATTCGATGCCCGACTCGATCTATTGGACCGGGCCGGCAACCCTATATGGGATGATGGGGAGTGTTACGCAAGACTCGAAGCCCAGACTTTTTTCGACCCCTAACTCCAACCTAGAGCTCGACTCATCTTTTTTCCTCAACCCCTCCCATTTCTGATCGAAATCTTGTCTTTTTGGAGTAAATTTGGAAAAAAACCCCCGATTCGAATTCCCGACGTCCATTTTTCTTAAACTTTCAATTCTTGAGCTTTCGTTCTTTGTTTATTTTTACCAAAAAAAAGTTAAATTTTATTATTTTTAAAGGTTGTGGTATAAAGAAATTGTTGGCGGTGCCCTGGTATTTCTTAAAAAAATTTTTTTCAAAATTAATTTTCCCTTCTTTCAGGCTATAAACATAAACGATTATTTACAGGTAAATGGCTTTTCAAATAGCTATTGGGCTTGGGGAGGTGAAGATGATGATATGGGTTGGTTTTTGTTTTTGATTTTTAATTAAAAATTTTTTTTAAAGGCAAAAGAATATTATCAAATAATTTTACAATTGGAAGGCCAAACAGCGAATATGTTCGTTTTTCAATGCTCAAACATGTTAAAAGGAAACGGGTTCAGCCTAAACTTGTGTTTGTTTTTTTTTAATTTAAATTTAACCCCCTGAAACTTTCTTTGGTACTAATGGACAGAGGAGTAGCCAGGTATGTGGGCTGAGGGGGCTAAAGCTTCCTTCTCCCCCCAATCCAAAATGGTGGAAGAGGGAAAAATATTGGGAGAAAGATGATCGAAAAGTGAAATATTTTCGCTCACAACCTCACAATTTTATTCCCCCCTCTTTCCTCTGAAATCCGACCCTGGCTACGCCCTTGCTAATGGATAGAGCATCCTAGATTTACTACAGAAATTTTTTTGCCTTTTCGGCTAAATATGTTAACCTCAATGGGGCTTAAATATTTGTGATAATTGAGGTGGAAAGATGGGAAATCATGATCCATTGTACCAAAAAAAGATCTCTTTTATCGAATGCTCTTATAGAATATCTCCACTAACATCTTCTAAAAATTTTTTTTTTCAGGTATAAATTATTGGAAGAAGCCGAAAAGAGAATGGCAACTGATGGTATAAATGAAGAGGGGAAATGGAGGATATTAAAGGTTTTTATTTTTTAATTTTAAAAAGATTATCTTTAAAAAAAATTGGCGGGTAATTTTATACTTACTAAAATCCTCAAATTTTGCGGACAAAAATTTTTTTTTGCGGACAATTCTTTTTATCTCTTTTCTCTAATTTTTATTTCTTTCCATAAGGATTTATAAAAAAAATTTTTTTCTTCTTATAATGAAAAGACTGATTTTCTTTTGTATATGCACGAGGTTGTCCGCAAAAAATTTTTTATTTTTAATTTTGCAATTTTTTCAACAAATAGTCTTTTTAAAATTTTTATTTTATTAAAAAACTCCAGATAAAAATTAAATTTTTTCAGGTAGATATTCGTCCACTTTATTATCATTTAATTGTTGATGTTGGTGATCCACCCAGTGATTGGAATACAAAATAAAAACAACAACAAACAAATTAATTTTTCTTTCAACCTTTTCTCTTCTCTTAGAAAAAATAAATTTAAGCATCATATATACTCGTCAAACAACAAATAAAATTAAAATATTTTTAGGTAAATTGTTTTGTTGTTATTTTTCTTCAAAATATTCTTTTTGTTCTCTATTTTGGATGTGTTTAAAGTTTTTCTAGTCTCTATCATCGTCCAACCATCAAAACCCTTAAAGAAGAAAATCCTAAAATCCCTGCAATTTAGCTCATATATCCCCATGGACTGATTCCGGGGCATTCGCTTCAGCTCTATTAATCTATTAATCACTGACCATTTTGTACATCTTAAACAAAAAAATGACGGGACTAAATGGGACTGGCACACCCTAATTATGTTCTATATTAGTGTTGTCGGGTAGATTTTAGGTTTGGTTTAGAATTAACAGAAAAGATTTAGGCGAGGAATTTGCTGAAACCGACAATCCTATTCTATCATAAAGCTAATCAAAACCAAAGAAAATTTTTTAAAGTTTTAAAACTTAGACACATCCCTAAAGAAACAATTTCCCTCCAATTAAAATTGCCATATTAGTAATACTTATAAAGAAGATAAACTTTTATTAAAAGCATTTTATTTTTTTTATCTTAATGGAACCTCCTCAAAAATTTATTTTTAAATAAAATCATTTAAAATGTGTTATATTGTTACTAGAGATCGGACTGACACGAGATCTTTAAAAAAATTTTTTTAGAATTTCTCCTTTATTTGAGATTATCACTTAAAGTCCGGCCTCTCTCTTCTCCTTTACTTGCTTTACTTTTTATTCTTGTTTTTTTCTGATTTATATATACAGTCAACCTGATATACCTCGTGTTTCTTAAACGTGGGGTTTTATTTTTCAGATATCCGCCAAAGTAAGACTTCAAGGGGGTTTAAATCCAGGATGGGACGGACTTTAAAAAAATGGTAATTAATCGGCATGCCGAAACTTGCGGACCGAAACTTGCGGACCCGACAAATTTCTTAAAACATAGCTCATTCGAAAGAGCTCGACGAGCTGAGTCGAATGACATCAAAATCATCGTGATTGTACCAGCTTGGACAAAGTTACGATAAAAAAACAAAAACCTAAACCTATGGTCCGCAAAAGTCGGTCCGCAAGTTTCGCACTACCAATTTTTCCTTACTAAAAGAACCTTCCCAAATAGCGAACCTCCAATTTTGTTATACAAATTAAGAGTCGACTGTATTTACCTAAAATTTTTTTGCCCAAATTTCTTTGTTTTTTTACTCAATATATTACTGAAATACTTAAATTTATATATGTACTCTAGTAAAAATACTTAAAATTTAAATTAAAAATACTTGAAATTACCCAATTAACTACTTCAATTTTCTGTTTTTTGGCTTTCTGACACTGAAGAATTTTTTTTGTTTTTTTGCCATAATTTTATTAAAAAATTTTTTCTAATTAAATTCTTCTTTGTCAGATAAGCAGCTTTTCGAATATTTTGGCTGACTCCTTTCCTTTCCTGCTTTCTTGACCATGTTGAGCTTTTTTGATACAATTTTATTGAAATATTATATCTAAAGAGCTCTTCAAGCTGGGTCTACCAACACTGGCTAGAAAGTGGGAGGGAGTCAGCCAAAGTACATATTACCGATAGGCATTCAATAAATGCCCAATATTTAAAAAAAATTTTATTTTTCCTTCCTTTCTTTCAGGCTTTTACATATTTTAAATTTATTGAGAATTTTACACGGCTAGATTTAAAAAAATATTTTTATCATTAAATTCCTATAATTAAAAATATTTCTATTTAATTAATTTTACGCATATTAATATAAGCAAAATTCTATTTAATAATGCAAAAATTCTGGTCATTTTCTTTCATGTATATTTTTTGCTTTTTTTTGTTTTTCTAATTTTGTGTATCGCCGAAATGAAATTTTGGTACTACTGAAGATAGGAGGGCTTTTTCTGCGGACTTTTTTTGCGGACTTTTCCTTTCTTTTAAATGTTTTACTTGTAGCAACAAACTGTCAAAGGCCCTCCCCCTATTATTTTTCTTACCTAAGATTGTACATAAAGGTCAGATTTTCTTCTTCCTCTCCTTCCTTCTATTTGCCCTGTGACATATTCAGACAAGAGACATTGATAAAGAGAAGATTATTTTTTTTGCCTCCGAAAACAATTTAAACAAAATAAAAGAACTAAATAAAATGATTTGGTATATACTAACATTATGCATTTCTGTGTAAAAACATTACATTCGTACTTATATTTAAAAATATTGAACTACTGAAAAAATAAATTGAACTCAATATTGAACAACTCAATTAAAAATATTGAACAACAATTAATTTTAATCTTCTCTTTATCAACAATGTCTTGTTTGAATATGCCAAGGTCAGAGGAAAGAGAGGAAGAAAGAAATCTGACCATTTTGTACAATCTTAGGTAATAAAAATAATGGGGGGGACAAGGGGTACTAATTTAGTTTCCCCCCCCCCCCCCCCCAGCCAGTTTTTTCGAAAATTATGTAAAAATGGTCAGTCTGAACAACAATTGTAGAACCCATCGAGCTGTGTCGAATGACACCAAAATCAACAAAATCCGACTTGATTTGACCGAAATACAGACCCCTGAAAATTGAACAACCATGGGGGTGGTTTTTTGAAATAAAAAAAGTTTACCCAAATGATAGCTCATTCGAAAGAGCTCGTCGAGCTGAGTCGAATGACACCGAAATCAACGAAATCGGACAAGATTTGACAAAGTTATGACATTATTTAGACCTACCGGAGTCGACGATTTATGTCATATCTTTGTCAAATCAAGTCGGATTTCGTTGATTTTGGTCTCATTCGACTCAGCTCGATGAGCTCTTTCGAATGAGCTATCATTTGTATAGATTTTCGTCTTTATGATTTTGTGCCCCTGTGGTTTAGGGGTCTGTATTTCGGTCAAATCAAGTCGGATTTTGTTGATTTTGGTCTCATTCGACACAGCTCGATGGGTTCTACAATTGTTGTTCAGACTGACCATTTTTACATAATTTTCGAAAAAACTGGCTGGGGGGGGGGAAACTAAATTAGTACCGGACAAGGTTGTTTCTGTTCCACAATTACATATTCTTTTTCTATTAAGCATTCCGAGATCAGTGATCCATAGTTGAAATTCATCAAAGGGTAATTGAAAATTTAGTTAAAGTAAAATTTTTTATTGACTGTAACATTTGTTACGTTTATAATGTTCAAATTAATCGTGAACACATACTCCCTTGACAGTTTTTTGCTACAAGCAAAACTTGCTACAAGCAAGACAACCAAAACATTAAAAAAGAAACATTTAAAAGAAAAGAAAAGTCCGCAGAAAAAGCCCTCCTATCTTCAGTAGTACCGAAATTTTTTGTATTTTATTTTCTGAAATTCTGATTTTTTGTATTTTGTGTTTATTTCAGAATTTTATTTTTTAATTCTGATTTTTGTATTTTCCGGAATATTCTCATTTTTCTGAATTCTGAATTTTTAGTGTGTATTTCTTTCTTATTTAATTCTGATTTAATTAATCTGATTTTATGTATGTGTTTTCAGATTCTGATTTTAAATGTGTTTTACTCGTATTTATGTATTTTTTCTCGTTTTAATTCTGAATAAATTCTGATTTTGTATTTCTGTGTCTAATTCTACTATGTAATTCTGATTTTTGTATTTTAAAGTTTAACATTTTATTTCGGCGATATACCCTTTCTTTGCATTTTTCTTTTGCCTTTTGTATTTTTGCTCCTTTCTATCAAAAAAAGAATAAATTTTTATATTTCAGAATTTCGACTAGATTATTTTTCTGATTTTCTGTGTTACTTAATTAAAGAATCCGGAAATTTGTATTTTTAATTTTAAACAGAAATATTCTGATTTTTAATGAGAAACAGAAAGTTGTCAAGTTTCAACAAACTTTTATTTACAACTACAGAAAAATAAAGATTATCACAGGTAGATAAAAGGACAAATACAATAATTTATAGGAAAATATTTATTTATTTTTGGGGGAAAGGGATACCTATTTTTTAAATTTATTTTTGTGAAATATCCTATCCAAATCTTTTCTTCTTCTCACTCTTCCTAATTTTCTTCTTCTTCTTTGCTTCTTCTGCCGCCTTCCAGTTAATTTCCGCCGGTTCGTGAACAACACTCTTCTTCTTCTGCTGATCAATCTTAAAAAGTAAACAAAAAATTTCAGTTTAAAATTCATTTTTCGACTCACTTCCTCAGCCCATCCTTCATTTGGTTCCTCTGTTCCAGCCAAACTTTTACCCGTCTTCAAGATCTCAATAGCAGTATTATCATCATCCTCCAACAAATCGCTGTCCCTTTCGAGGCTCAAAAGATCCGAATTATATTGAGAATTTTTGTTCATACTCGAGGAATTGGTGTTTTGAGATGAAGTTGGTTGATTATAGTATTTCTGAAAAGGAGAGGAAATTTTGGATTTTTGAGAGAATTTAAACTCACGTTCTTCCTTTGCATCCTCATTCGTGCTATGTTGCGGGCACATCTAGCATAAGCATCTTGGCGACGAGCCTCCCTCCGATCTTCTCCTTTGCGTTCCTCAATCCTTCTTCGGTTTCTCTTCTTCAAGTGGTTGTAGTAGCAGTTGATGATTGAAGTGATAAGAAGAAGGCCAATGAAGATTGAGATTGGAATTAAGTAGTGGATGTATGGAGGCGTTTGGTTGATTGTATAAGTATCCATGTGGTAGACCATAACTTTGAAGCAGCCAGAAAGTAGCGCAAGGAAGCTTGTCACAAAAAATCCCAGACGTAGAATAAGCGCGATCTCTATATCGAGAAGTTCTCCACGAAATAAGTATTGCTTGTCACTCTTTGTATAATCAGCAGAGACATTATAAAGGCAATAGAGGCCACCAACGAATATAAAAAAAGCCACAATGAACGTAGTCGTGGCAACGATTTTGAAGTTTCCAGAGCCAGGATCAGATGTGGTTGTTGCTTTAGGTGTTGTCGTGGTTTGAGGAGGTTTTTTCCTTGATGTTGAAGTACTTTTAGGTGTGGTGATCCTGGTCTTTGTTGGCGGTAGTGGTGACGTTGTTGTTGTTGGAAGTGGATCTTTTTGTCCCAACAAAGTGTAGTCTTTTGTATGCTGAATAGAAAAAGGAAAAATTTTGAAATTTTATAAGAATTTGAAAATCCTTACAAATTTGATAAAAAGTTCATCACACTCTGGTCCTTTAGGAGATACCCTTATATTGCTTTCGTCACCACTGTTGATTCGCGCCGATTCTTGTGGAAGCATATGGAAGACAAGCAAGTTGTTGTGATTCGATTTTGGCTCTGTCACGTTGATTTTCCACGTAACAGGCTCGGCCACGAACGTGTTGTTAGGGAGGCAATAAGCTATTTTAGTCGATTTGGCATAGTCCATCTTCTGCCCACGAAAGTCCATTATGAAATCGCCATCCTCCGTTATAGTCAAATCGAAGGATAACTGTTTGGCTTTTACGTTAGACGTTGTGTTGGTATTCCAAACGGCTAGAACTTCGCCCACTAAAATAAAATTATCAAGAAAGGCAGACAATATTCATATCCTTACTTGGATGGGCATGAGCAAAGGATTTATTGTTGCAGGAAGTCCACGCAGCTTCAAGAGAAGTCCACCTCATACAATCTGCCGACTTTCCACACTCCTCCTGATTATGACAATTTTCCTCCTTAGCATCATACAACGGCCCATTTACTTTCAACTTTGTGATGTTCTTGTCCCTTGTTGTGCTGTAGGCGAAAGGCAAACTAAAAATAAAATTTTAAGATATTATCCTCCGAAACAAATGTAAACTTACAGATTGGCACTGCTTCCATTAAAAGGCAAAGCTTCTGAAGAACATTTCCCAAGGCATTTTTCAATCCCTCCTTTGTTCTCCACTCCAGTTTCAAACTTGATCATGTTGTGAAGACGCGAGAGCAAATCCACAGTGCAACCATTCTTCGCCGCTTTGCTTTCCTTTTTGTAGTGAAGCACGCTAAAATGTCAAATTTATTTTAAAATTATTTTAGCGAATTCTTACATGAAATTGTCTTCAATAGTAACTTCACAGGCTCCAGGATGCTTCGTGTATAAACTAATGTTGTCCTTGTTGACTTCCTCGACTCGTTCTGCGAGAGTAACCATTTCACCCTTCAGCGTGTGATTGAAAAACCCAAAAGGATTCGTTGCTTCGGGAAGCTTAGTCGTGGTTGGTTCGGGAAGCTTAGCCGTGGTCGCCGTTGTTGTTGTTGATGGAGCGATGAAGTCTTCATTGGTCAACAAAATGTAGTTATCCATATGCTAAATAAAAAAAGGTAAATTAGAGATTTTATAAGTGAAGCTCCTTACAAATTTGATAGAAAGTTCATCACACTTTGGACCATCAGGAAGATCATCTTTTTTGATTTTCCCATCCACGTGTTTTCGAGATGCTTTTTGTGGAAGCATGTGGAAGACCAGCAAGTTCGCATAATTCGGATTCGGTAGAGTTCCGTTGATTTTCCATGTAACAGGTTCAGCAATGCCTTTTTCTTCAGGAATGCAGGCAGCACGATACAACACCTCAGAATAGTCCATTGGTTTCCCTTCAAAGTCCATTATGAAATTGCCATCCTTCGTTATATTCAAATTGAAAAACAATTCTGTCTCATTTTTGTCGAACATTTTGTGCGTCAACCAAAGTTCCCGAACTTCACCAACTAAAATAAAATATCAATAAGTTAAGTAATATTTTTCCCACTTGGTTGGGTGTGATCAAAGAATTTATTATCGCAGGTGGTCCATGCAACCTCAAGAGAAGTCCACGGCATACATCTTCCACCATTATTATAACACGTCACGTTATCATAACATGCCACGTTTTCTTTATAAATTGGTCCATTTTTTAATTCCATGATGTTCCTATCTTCTGTTGTGCTGTAGGCGAAAGGCAAACTAAAAAAAGGCATTTTACTCGATTATTCTCTCAACTAAAGACTTACAGATTGTCACTACTTCCGTGAAAAAATCTTGATCTTTTGCATTTCCCCAGGCATTTTTCAATCACATCGCTGTGCTTCACCTCGGTCGTGAAGTAAATCATGTTCTGAAGGTTGGTGAGCATGTCCACTGTGCAACCATTCCTCGCTGCAATGCTTTCCCTTTTGTAGTGGAGCACGCTGAAAATGGGAAAATTTATTTTAGGACTATTATCAAGGGAAACTCACATAAAATTGCCTTCAAAAGTAACTTCACAGGCTCCAGAATGATTCGTGAACAATTTATGATTGGTCTTTTTGACTTCCACGGTTCCCTCAGAAAGTGTAACCATTTTACCCTTCAGCGTGTGATTGAAAAACCCAACAGGGATTCCATCTGTATCATCATCACCCTTAACCTGCCCGAGAAGAAGCAAAAAAACCAAAGAAGCAAAGAGAGTTGGCAAAATGTTGGTAGTCGACGAGCGCAGAAATGAAGAAGACTTTCTTGTTCCAGAACCGTCTTTAAACTCTTCTTGTCGAATTAAATAAAAGAACATTTTGTTTGTTGTTGTTGTTTTGATGTTGATTTGAACGTTGCTTTAATAATTACTTTGAAAAAAATATTTGTCGGTAAGGTGTGGAGTGAAGAAAACTAAGCCTTTTATAGTATTTTAAAAATTGGCGTTCTGTTGCTCTTTCACTGTGACAGTCTTTCTTTTTTCGTAATCCTATTTTGAACTGTTTCCGACAAATACGAACAGACTCGTGAATTTATATATTTCTGATTATATTTAGTCGGATTAGGATTTGGCTAATCCAACTTGACCCACATCATCCAATCAGTAACGCGAATTTTGCGCCGCGACTTCCTGAAATTCCTTCAGCTTCTGGATACAATCTTTAAGGAGTACACTATAATTAGGTTCGACTGTAGATATTATTTTTTTAAATTATGGCGGCGCAAATGTTCTCGGCGCAAAAGTCGTGATACCCTCTGATTCTGGCTAGAAAAGTTTAGGTATCGGATAACCCAGCACTAGGGGAGGGTTTATCTGTTTTATTGTCGAAAACTTCAACCCTATTCCTTATTGAACATTTTCCTCCCTTCAACCCCTTTCCGGCCAACCATTCCCCGCTGCTAAAATTTATCCTAGCGGCCCAAAAGAAAATCATATGGAATTTCCAAGGAAGCTTAAAGTTGAAGAATATTGATTTTTAAATGTTTTTTGTGGTTATTAGATTATTGAATAAAAAATTTTTTCCTCAAAAATTGTTTTTTTGGGTTCTAGTCTAGTTTATGAGTCCGTTAAACCTTTGTGAGTTGAATAAAAATTTTAGAAAAAGTCTCAAACACCTCCAATAAAAAAATTTGAGTTTACATTTTTTATGCTCGGTTAACCTTTGAATAAGGGGCAGTGCTTATTTTTAATTAAACTCAGACTAAATTAGAGCCTTTTTTTGTTTTAATTGGAATTTTAATTCAAATTTTTTTGTTCAAATTTTATTTGAAGTTAAACAGTTTAAAATTTCAGAATTTTAATTTTCAATTCTGATTTTTGTATTTTTGGGGATTTAATTGTATTTCTGTTTAAAATTTATGTAATTCTGGTTTTTGTATGTTAATTATCGAAAAAGATAAAAAATATTTCAGAAAAAGTTTTATATTTCAAAATTTCGACTAGCTTATTTTTCTGATTTTCTGTGTTTCTTTTTAAAGAATCCGGAAATTTGTATTTTTAATTTTAAATAGAAAAATTCTCATTTTTAATGAGAAACAGAAAGCTGTCAAATTTCAACAAACTTTTATTACAACTACAGAAAAATAATGATTATCACAGGCAATAAGCGAAGAATAAGCGCCGAAGAATAAGCGCGATCTCTATATCGAGAAGTTCTCCACGAAATAAGTATTGCTTGTCACTCTTTGTATAGTCAGCGGAGACATTATAAAGGCAATAGAGGCCGCCAATGAATATAAAAAAAGCAACAATGAACGTAGTCGTGGCAACGAATTTGAAGTTTCCAGAGCCAGGATCAGATGTGGTTGTTGCTTTAGGTGTTGTCGTGGTTTGAGGAGGTTTTTTCCTTGATGTTGAAGTACTTTTAGGTGTGGTGATCCTGGTCTGTGTTGGCGGTAGTGGTGACGTTGTTGTTGTTGTTGGAAGTGGATCCTTTTGTCCCAGCAAAGTGTAGTCTTTTGTATGCTGAATAGAAAAAGGAAAAATTTTGAAATTTTATAATAATTTGAAAATCCTTACAAATTTGATAAAAAGTTCATCACACTCTGGTCCTTTAGGAGGTACCCTTATATTGCTTTCGTCACCACTGTTGATTCGCGCCGATTCTTGTGGAAGCATATGGAAGACAAGCAAGTTGTTGTGATTCGATTTTGGCTTTGTCCCGTTGATTTTCCAAGTAACAGGCTCGGCTACGAACGTGTCGTTAGGGAGGCAATGAGCTATTTTAGTCGATTCGGCATAGTCCATCTTCTGCCCACGAAAGTCCATTATGAAATCGCCATCCTCCGTTATAGTCAAATCGAAGGATAACTGTTTGGCTTTTGCGTCGAACTTCGTGCTGGTACTCCAAACGGCTAGAACTTCGCCCACTAAAATAAAATAATCAAATAGGGAGACAATATTAATATCCTTACTTGGATGGGCATGAGCAAAGAATTTATTGTTACAGGTAGTCCACGCAGCTTCAAGAGAAGTCCACCTCATACAATCTGCCGACTTTCCACACTCCTCCTGATTATGACAATTTTCCTCCTTAGCATCATACAACGGTCCATTTACTTTCAGCTTAGTGATGTTCTTGTCTCTTGTTGTGCTGTAGCCGAAGGGCAAACTAAAAATAAAATTTTAAGATATTATCCTTCCAAACAAATGATGGATAACTTACAGATTGGCACTGCTTCCATTAAAAGGCAAATCTTCTGATGAACATTTCCCCAGGCATTTTTCAATCCCTCCTTTGTTCTCCACTCCAGTTTCCAACTTGATCATGTTGTGAAGACGCGAGAGCAAATCCACAGCGCAACCATTCTTCGCCGCTTTGCTTTCCTTTTTGTAGTGAAGAACGCTGAAAATGTCAAATTTATTTTAAAATTATTCTAAGAGACGTCTTACATGAAATTGTCTTCAAAAGTAACTTCACAGGCCCCAGGATGCTTCGTGTACAAACTAATGTTGTCCTTGTTGACTTCCCCAACTCGTTCGGCAAGAGTAACCATTTCACCCTTCAGCGTGTGATTGAAAAACCCAAAAGAGAGTTCACTCTTGGTTGCTTCAGGAAGCTTAGTCGTGGTTGGTTCGGGAAGCTTAGTCGTGGTTGCCGTTGTTGTTGTTGATGGAGCGATGAAGTCTTCGTTGGTCAACAAAATGTAGTTATCCGAATGCTAAATAGAAAAAGGGAAAGTTTGAGATTTTATAAGTTTCAGAAGTGAAGATCCTTACAAATTTGATAGAAAGTTCATCACACTTTGGACCATCAGGAAGATCATCTTTTGTGATTTTCCCATCCACGTGTTTTCGAGATGCTTTTTGTGGAAGCATGTGGAAGACCAGCAAGTTCGCATAATTCGGATTCGGTAGAGTGCCGTTGATTTCCCATGTAACAGGTTTGGCAATGCCTTCCTCTTTAGGGATGCAGGCAGCACGACCCCCCGAGCGGTAGTCCATTATTTGTCCTTCAAAGTCCATTATGAAATTGCCATTCTTCGTTATATTCAAATTGAAAGACAATCCTGTCACATTTTTGTCATACATTTTGTGTTTCCTCCAGTGAGCCGTAACTTCACCAACTAAAATAAAATTCTCAAAACATGATAAAAAACGGTCCACTTGGATGGGTGTGAGCAAAGAATTCATCATCACAGGTGGTCCATGCAACCTCAAGAGAAGTCCACGGCATACATCTTCCACCATTATCATCACACGTCTCGTCGTCATAACATGTCAGGTTTTCTTTATAAATTGGTCCAGTTAATTCCATGATGTTCTTATCTTCTGTTGTGCTGTAGGCGAAAGGCAAACTAAAATATGTATATTGGATTATCTATCACCCCAACTAAAAACTTACAGATTGTCACTACTTCCGTGAAAAAATTTTGATATTTTGCATTTCCCCAGGCATTTTTCAATCACATCGCTGTGCTTCACTTCGGTCGTGAAATAAATCATGTTCTGAAGGTTGGTGAGCAAGTCCACTTTGCAACCATTCCTCGCCGCAATGCTTTCCCTTTTGTAGTGGAGTACGCTGAAAATGAGAAAATTTATTTTAAGACTATCAAGGAAACTCACATGAAATTGCCTTCAAAAGTAACTTCACAGGCTCCAGAATGATTCGTGTACAATTCCAGATTGGTCTTTTTGACTTCCACGGTTCCCTCAGAAAGTGTAACCATTCCATCCTTCAGAGTGTGATTGAAAAACCCAACAGGGATTCCAACACCACCACCATCATCACCCTTAACCTGCCCGAGAAGAAACAAAAAAACCAAAGAAGCAAAGAGAGTTGGCAAAAGGTTGGTAGTCGACGAGCGCAGAAATGAAGAAGACTTTCTTGTTCCAGAACCGTCTTTAAACTCTTCTTGTCGAATTAAATAAAAGAACATTTTGTTTGTTGTTGTTTTGATGTTGATTTGCTTTGAAAAAAATATTTGACGGTAAGGTGTGGAGTGAAGAAAACAAGGGCTTTTATAGTATTTTAAAAGTTGGCGTTCCGTTGCTCTTTAGCTGGTGACGTCTTTTTCCCCGTACTCCTATTTTGAACTGCTTCCGACAAATACGAACAGACTCGTAAATTTATATATTTCTGATTATATTTAGTCGGATTAGGATTTGGCTTATCCAACTTGACCCACATCATCCAATCAGTAACGTTTATTTGTATAAATGTTGAAGCATTCAGGGATATACTTTAGCCGGTGGCCCACTCAGAATCGGGTCAAATTACATACTATTCGCTTCGTCTCGGCGAGCCGAGTCGAATGGTACTACTCTCTATCTGCGGAAATTCCTACGAGCCGAGATATAGGTCCTTGAAGACCGATAAACCATAGGGAGGAGTAAGCTCGATTTTGGGGGTGAGTGCTCTCTAAAGCAAGGTTTTTAACACTACCGACAGAAAGTTTCCATTTTTTATTTTATCAAAACTTTGCTTACCCGTCGCTAACTTTTACATTATTTTTTAGATCATCAATGCTTTAACGATTTTTAAAATTATGATTTCTACCAATTATTTCACTCATCTTTAGTTAACATTGAGCAAAAACTCTAACGAATTGGCTATGGAAATTTTGAGGGAAAAATTGGATCAGTTTAGACTTTTAAAAATTAAAATTTGGGGAAATATTAAAATGATAGGAACGCTGTAGGGGAAAATTTGGGATTCAATAGAGGTGTTTGTCGGTGAAGAAATCAAGTTTTTTTTGGCGGAAGAGTGAAAACGGAAAGTGAAAAAGGCTATAAGCAAGTTGTTGCTGATATTTCAACAGATTCTGTCACACAATAATGGTCAAGAGTGTTTTAAAACGAATTTTAGAAAAGCTGACAGACGAGAGAGGAACAAAAGAATCTAAAATATAATTACTAATTGGAGCTCCAAGTACTAAATTTTATTTAAAAAATTGTGTATTTTAGAATATATTTTATTTAATAAATTTATTTTACATATTTTTCTTTAGCTACAAAATCCTGAAAATTTTTTCAGAAGATTTTTTTACCTCAATAAATAATGACACAAAAAAATATTTTCTAATTTCTTTATATTCTTTATTCCAAAACGACTGTAAAAATTAATAAAAAAAGAACAATTTCTATCAAAATAAAAACAGTCGAATTTAAAATAAAAAAAGATCAAAATTTAATCTCAAATAATGGAGAGAGAATTTATTTTTTAATATAAAAAATAAAATTAATAAACTAAAAAATCCAGTAAAATTGGATTTAATTTAAAATAAAAGAAAAAAAAATTAAATTTAACTCCAAGAAAAATTTTTTTATCGCTAGCGACTTTTTGCATTTTTTTTTCTAGTAAATTAATAAAGAGTATAAAATTAAAAATAAATATAGACCGGAAAGATTATTTTTAAAAATACACAAATATACCCCTTTTTATATATAAACTTTTCCGGAAAACTTTTTTTCTCTACACACTTTTCCGGAAAAATAAATAAACCTTTTCCGGTCTCTACACAATTAAAATAAAAACAAAAGAAAATAGTGTTGGGATTAGAGAAAAGTTTTACAAATTGTAATTACAAATTGTAAAATTAAATAAATAAACTTGGAAAAGAACTCTGTGTCTAACTTGTTTGTATTTTTCCAACTTGAAAACTTGAATAAAATTTTCCAACTTTTTTTTCCAACTTGAAAAGCAAAAATGCTTTTAAAAACTTGAAACTTGAATTTACACTGTCTGCGCTCCACTTTTCTAAAACTTGACTTACCAAAGCATTTTTAAAATGCTAAAACTTGCGCATATTCAAAATAATTGAATAGGCAGGGACAATTAAAGGCAAATAAAATTAAGCCTTTCATGAGTGAAAGAACTACACATCGCGGCCGGGCGATTCCATTAAAAAATTTTTTTGGGGAGAAAAATTTTCCGACACAAAAAGGAAAATAATATTTTTAATTAGGAAGGGCTTCTATAAGAAACAATAATTTTTGAGGGAAGGGGAATTATACAAAATTTAAGGGAAAAATAGGGGAAGGAGTGAGGGGGAGGAGGTAGGGAGAAGAGGGGAAGATAGGGACCAAGATTAAAAGAAGCCACTTGAACTCAACTTTCTCTTTTTTTAAATTTTAATTTCAAAAAATCCTCAAAACATCCAAAATTTAAATTAATCAAGTGGCCATTAAATACACTAAAAAACTAAATTTTTATTTAAAAAAGTGTCGGGGAAAGGCCGGAGCGTTTTGTGTTTTTTTTATTACTAATAATCATGTGGTGGTACAATTTTCATGTTTTTTTGAGATGCCTGAAGATTTTAATTGAAAAAAGAGGCTGTGACCAGATTATTTCAAAATGTCAACTTTCCCAAAAAATTTCAAAATGTCAACTTTCCAAAAAATTTCAAAATGTCAACTTTCCAAAAAATTTCAAAATGTCAACTTTCCAAAAAATTTCAAAATGTCAACTTTCCAAAAAATTTCAAAATGTCAACTTTCCAAAAAATTTCAAAATGTCAACTTTCCAAAAAATTTCAAAATGTCAACTTTCCAAAAAAATTTCAAAATGTCAACTTTTCCAAAAAATTTCAAAATGTCAACTTCCCAAAAAATTTCAAAATGTCAACTCCTCAAAACGTCAATTTTTTAATTTCAAAAATTTTAATTAATCTAGTCACACCCTTTTTTATATTGCTACAATATTGCTTGAACGATGCATTTTCTAATTAATTTAGAAACTATGCTTTTACTAGCTGTTTTTACGTGAAACATTTGTTTAATGAAAAGAATAGGAATTAAAGAGAGAAAAGAATTGCTGATTTAATTATTTTTTAAAGAAAAGGTGGAAAGGGTGTGATTTTTTGTTTTTTGGGATAAAATGTCTTTTCTTTACAAAAATTAAAAATTTTTCCGAATTTTTCAAAAATCACACCCCCAAAAAATTAAAATAAAATTATGTACACAATGGCCTAAAATTATAATCCGTCCAAATATTTTTAATTGAAAAAAATTAATTTTGAGTGTATATAAACATTAATTTAAGCAAAAATTAATTTGGGGAAGAAGAACATTAAGTACAGTCAAAATCTCACTATAAGAGACACCCAATAGTAGCTACTAGAGCTGTCCAAGACCGAAAACTTTAAGAGATTCGAGACTAAGACCAACCCAAAGACCAAGACCAATACCAAGACCAATCCAAGACCAACCCCAAGACCCTGACCGAAAAACCCCAAGAAATTTCTTAAGTCAAGGCTCAAGACCAAGAGTCTTGAACAGCTCTAGTAGCTACACCTCCAATTAGTTAGAAACATGGGGGAAAAGAAAGCTGTCTGCCCCCAGTTTAAAATTACCCTTCAGTAAAAGGCAAGTATTTGTTGTTCAACAAAAAAGGGGGCATTTAATAATGAGATTCTGACTGTATTTTAATTCTTTCATTTTTAAAAATCCAAAAACAAACATTATTTTTGGAATTTTCTGAATGAGACTACATACATTCTCAATTTTCCAAAAAATTGTTTTTTTTAATTTTTAGAGGAATGAAAAATTTTTTTAAATAAATTATTAACTAAAAAAATACATATTAAAAAGGTTAGTCAACACACTCTCTATTACGACACCTTTCTACAATCCTTGCTTTGTCCAGTCAAAAAGACCCCCGACTTTAGCATTCCTCATATTATGCCAACATAATCTAGCCCTGAGGAGTAGCCCTGGATGGCTCTCCCTTAAACCTTCCTTCTTACGTCAACAATCTTAGGTCTGAGAAGGGTGTCTGTCGTAAATAGAGAGTTTTGCACAAAAAAGAAAATTAACTAAAAATAAAGAATTTTAATTTTAAATTAGCTAAGGCAGGAAAAAATTAGTTTAGTAATTAAATTAATTAAATTAGTAGAAGAGAAGAAGAGGAATAAATAAAATTTAAAATTTACTAAAAAATTTAACATAAAAATTAGGACAAAAAGGAGATCTCCCATTTTTAAACTAATTTTTTTACTGTTGCTGGGAAAATACTTTTGAAAAAATTTTTGACATTTTTTGGGATATAATGTCACCTCACAATTTTTTAAATATTTTCTTAAACACAAACATTTTTACCGGTAATTCCGGTTCCAGGTCGGAATTAAAATTGGATCGGGTTTCGGTCACAATTTTTGTCCCGATGAAACACTAACATACAAGTCAATCAAACACCAGGAAAAATCCCCCTACAGAGGCCAGAGAAGACTTTTCTGTCATTTTTCTTCTCAAGTATTTGTCCCCCAACATTTTAGAGGTGTTCGAGATCCTTTTTCGAAAATAACCAAAATTCTCTTTTCTTTGCTAGAAAATTTCAAAAATATCGAAAAACAAAATTTCGAACCTCTAAACACAGAAAAAATATTTAAAAATAAAATAATTATTTTTATTTATTTACACTTTTAGGCATATTATTTCTTCATTTGTAATTTGGAAAAAATTGAAAATTAAAGAGAAAAAAAAGTAAAAAGAAGGCAGACAGGGGACAGAGAAATAGAGAGCCCCCACTTCTTTTTTTTAAAAATGTTATGAAATTTTAAAAGTAAATTAGAAAATTATCATTATTATTTATTTTTTGCACGTGTAAAATCTTTTAATATTTTTTAAAAGAATTAAACCCGCGCTCTTTTTTAATTTTAGAAAATTTAAAAGGAAGAAAAGCAATCAACAAAAAGAAGTTTGAGTGTATTGTTTTTTACTATTATTTTTTTAAAATGTTGTTGATTTTTATTAACGTCAAATAATTTAGGCGGCCATAACAGCGCAAAGCCGTAATTAGCTGGAAAATTTCCGACCCTTACTAATTTTGGTACCTGGTATAAATCAAAATTGTAAAATTTCGAAATAGTCATTGTTAAAATAACCATTCCTCCCCTTTACTAAAAAGAACTTCATTAAAAACAACAACATAGTACAATCTTTTTAATAAATATAGAAAGTTAATTAAATTATTAAATTAGAATTACTCCCATCGAATAAATAGAAAAACAAAGAAATTATTTTTTAGGTTTTTTAGAAACAAAATTTTTTTAATTTATTTTTTATCGCGCTATGGCAAATTTTTTGCAAAAAAAATTTCAGAATGTCGACTTTTCAAAATGGTAAATTTCAAAAAGACAAATTCTTAAAAAGTCAAATTACATAATGGTCAATTCCAAAACGAAAAGTTGACATTCCGAAATTATTCCGAGTCTTAAACGAAATTTCGAATTTAAAAAATCAATTCGAAATTTCGCAAATCATTTAATTTTCCCCAATTAAAAAATACAAGCTTCTTTAAATTTTTAAAAATAAATACAAATTTTTAAGTTAGTATAAACAAAAAAAGAATGTGTCCAATAAATTGAATTAAATATATGTAGAGAGGTGTGGTTGGGGTATTTTTAAATTTTTTAAAGAAAAATAAAAAAAGGGTGGGGATTTTTAATAAATATTTATGTACACTTAAAATGGCGACGATCATTTACTTTTTAAGACAAAAGACAATCAAAATTTAAATTTAAATTAATGAGCATCGGAATTTTAATTTTTTGAAAAAAAATTTATTTTTTATTTTTTTCCCGTCTATTAATTATTTTTTTTTTAATTTTAATTTAAGCTAGTATCTTTTTAATTTTTTAATTTAAAAAATTTAATTTATTTTTAATTCCTATTTTTTTTTATTTTTTTAAATAGTTAGAATTAATTAAAATTCAATAAAACAAATTCACAACCCGTCTAATAGTCTTTATTTTTTTCTTTTTACATTTTTAAAAATCCGATAATCATAAAATCAAAAAACACAAATTTTTAATAAAACATCAATAAAATTACCTTAATTTCTAAAAATATTTTTTTTATTTTTAATTTTTATTTTATGGCAATTTTTAGAGGCTAACAATATTTTTAGAATATAAGGGTTTTTAAATGGGGGAATTGTGACATTTGCAGTAGTTAATCTTCAGCTCCAAAACAAAAATAAAAATTTTAATTCTCATTAAAATGAGCAACGGTAAAATTAAAAAATGGTCAATCCCCAACTAGCCAATTCCCAGAATAGTAAATTTTTTTTAAATGGTACCAAAATGGTCAAATTCCCAAAAATGGTCTTGCCAATCCCCAAAAGAGTAAATTTTTTTAAAAATGGTACCAAAATGGTCAAATTGTAAATTCCCAAAAGGGTAAAGTCCCATAAGGGTAATTTTTCAGATAATCTCCTCAAAACTAATTAGAAAACACCGCAAATGTCTTTAAAATACATACACATAATTTTTTTCCAGGTTAAAATTTCCAATAAAATAAATACATTTTAATTTTCACATAATTTTTAAAATTGTTTTTACACACAAACATATACTTTTTTTTAAATTTGTCTTCATTTTGCGGGGAACAAAAAAAAATAAAATTAATAAATAAATGTATAAAAGAGAGAGAGAATAAATAAAACAAAAAAAGAAAATAAATATTTATATAATTTTTATGTGCGCATTTTTTTTTGAAATTTTTAAAAATTTCTGGATGGAATTTTTAATTTTAATTTTTTTTAATGTATTGTTGTTGTTGTGAAGAAAAAAATAAAGAAAGGAAAAGTAGTGTATAGGCGGCAAGGAATATTTCTTTAAATAGAAAAAATCAAAGAAAAATATTTCCAATTATTTTTAACTAGAACTAAAAATTAAATTTCCTGACCTAAGTAAATTTAAACTAAAAAATTCGACAAAACGCCAATTAAAGGAAAATTCGACAAAATGCCAAGATGTCAAAATGGTCAGAAGGAAATTTTTAAAAATTTTTTTGGTCAGGAAAATGTTTTAAAAAATTCGGAAAATTACCAAAAAAAATTTCTTGGCATTCTGTTTTTTCCTTTTTTCAAAAATTTCAAAAAAATTCTTTAATAAATTTACCGCCTATACTTTTCCCTCTTCTTTTTTTTAAATATTGCTATAATGTTTTTTTAATTAAATTTGTTTTTATAATTAAAAACAAACAAAAAAAAATTGCTGGGATTGAGGCAGATTTTTTTGAGAGTAAGAGAGAATTTTTTAGAAGGGGGAAATTTTATTTTTTTTTAAATTTTTTTTGCATTTTTAAAGGAAGGGAGGGGGGTAGTGTCTCGCCGGAAGCTCAGGTTCCGGTAGGCCGGAAGTTCCGGAATTTTTTGCTTCCGGCGAAACACTAGAAGGGAGGCATTTTTAAGAGAGAGAATAGAAGAGAGAGGAATTTACACAATTAAAATAAATAAAACTTTTTTTTTCAGATTTTTTTTGTTTGCCTAATTTTTTAAATACCAATTAATTGTTTTTCATTGTAATCATCAAATGTTGATGTGGAAGAGAAATTGGAGGTGATGGATGGTGGTGGTGAGCAAATTGACCGTGAAGTTGAAGTGGTTGATGATGAGGAGGAGGAGGATATTGATGGTGAAGATTATTATTATTATTGTTGGTATTGTTGTTGATGTTGTTATTGTTATTATGATTGTTGACTACACCACCTTAAAAACTTTTTTTAGAAAAAATTTAAAAATTTTTCGGTTCCTATGAAAACTCTAGTGTTAGGATAATCCACCACTTAACGTCGGGAGGTAATTCACTCATTTATCCAAAATACTTTATGGAAAGACACAGTCAAGGACAATTCATTTCGGTTGAATAACACATAAAAGTAATGTAACTAGCGGTGAACAAAGGTCCAAGGTTTCAAAGTCAGCGTATTAACAATGACAAGACATCCCACATATTCTGTTTGGAGGGTAGTTTCGAATCTAGTCTCTGGATTATTTTCATCAATGGGTGGATTGCCTTTCAACCCCTAAACTTTATGACTCTTAAAAGGTTAGGGGTCCAAACCTAGATTGAAGGGAATCTTGCCCGACCATTAAAATCATACTAGAATATTTATTTAAAAAAATTAAAAGAAACCTCCAGGAACAACAACAACAGAACCCGCCTCCACCGCAGCAGCAACATTCAAACGCGAACTTAAACGTGCAATCATTGGTGAAATTCGATTCATCATAAGAAAATGTTCATTCATTTGGTGAACATCACGAGCACTATCATTTCGCGAAAGATTTGTGGCCGTTTGAAGAGGAGTCTTTGGAGCACCACGAGTTACCCAAGGATGGGTTAAAACTTCATCAGCAGTATAACGTTGGCGAACGTTTCGAACCTTTAAAAATTGAGAAATTGAAGAATTTAAAGAAAAAAGAAACCAAAAGATGGCAAATGAGATCTTTAGCACTGTCACTAATATGCTTCCATTCCTCATCGGGAAAGTCAAAGTAGCCGCCTTGGATTCGATGAAAGAGATTCTCTTGACAATCAGAGCAAGACTCGCCTAAAAAATTTTTAATATTTTTTAGATAAAAAATGATTGAAAGGTCAGATGTCACGAGAAACTAAGTTAATGGAGCGCTGACTCTGCTCATTATCAGCTTCTAATAGATATGAAACTTAACCAATGGTTTTAAAATGAGTCAGCTAAAACTTCCATTTCTTAGAAATGATTAAAAACATTTTAGAAGGGAAGCAAAACTCCGAATATAAGAGAATAGGTAGTTGGAATTCTGAGTCAAAATATACAAAAATAAATAGACACATAACGGTCAGTTACCTACTTGTGAAGAGGCTAAAACTTCCTAGAGGGAGGCAGAAGTCGCAAAGCTTTCAAAGACGCACCTACTAAACCCCAGCACATTTCCTAACCTATCTTATCAAAAATAAAAAAAAACCTTGATCCCATCCACAATTTTCCTTCTCACATTCTCCATAAAACGGAGGATAACCACAAAGCATAATGTAAATAATCACACCCAATGACCACATATCACAGCGCTTGTCATATTTGAGCGCTTCCCCAACAAAAGCATCAACAACTTCCGGAGCCATAAATTCAGCACTTCCAACTGGGCTAGCCAAATCTGGCTCTGATTGTACAGGACGCATTCGACCAGGTGTTGTAGTAGCATCGAATGGTTTGCTAGCCAAATCCAAATCACAGAGTTTGACTGGAGAGATTTTGTCTACTTCGGTACAGAGAATGTTTTCTTAAAAATTTGAGGTTTTTTGGTGACTTCTCCCAAAAATTCCCAAAAATCCCGGTCACCCACAAAAAGAAAAAACTTTAAAAAAAACTAACCCGGCTTGACATCTCGATGGGCAATTCCCCGATCATGAAGAAATTTGAGAGCATTCGCAATATCACGCGTTACTAGCGAGGCTTCTTGCTCGGTAAAGCAAACTTTTCGTTGAATATGATTAAGAAGAGGGCCGCCACGCATCTTCTCAAAAACCATGTAGAAGCTACTATCATCTTCAAACCATTCAACCAATTGTACTTAAAAAGGAAAATGATGGGAATGATCTTGAAATTAGAAAGACTTAGGGCTAACAAATAAATATGTGGAAGTTGGTGCTTAGGATGGGGATTCCCTTGTGGACAAATCAGAAACAACCCTCCTCCCTCCTGTGCTCCTGACGTAGCCAAAACCCAAGGAATTTTTGAGCCCTTGAATTGTTCCGTGAGTTCAGCAAACCCAGGCTAACCCAGGACACAATACCACCCCAAAATCCAGGCCCAAACTTAAAAGGTCAAAAAAGATGTCAACTAAAAAAATACCAATATTCGGATGATTTCGACAAAGTTTGAAAATCTGGACTTCTCGCATGATACGCGAACGAGTATGACCATGTTTGTGTTTGTTCACAACCTTAACAGCATATTCCTCTCCGCTAGCCAAATTGATTGCAGTTTTTACGGAGGCATAAGCTCCAGAGCCCAAGTGATCGTCAACGAGACGGTAGTAGTCTACAAGTTAAAAAAATTATTTTACACATCAGGGAGTGTGACTTAAACCAAAAATAACCGGAATAATGAAGAAAAGCAAAAATAAAAGGTTGTCACCCAACGGGATTCGAACCCACGCCACTTCCCCCCTTAAGATCCTTAAAATACTCCACTTAACCAAAAAGGCGAAAAATAACAAGAAAAACAGGATTCCCTTGGACTAGTTGACATAACCCAAAAATATCCAGAATACTGAAGAAAAACAAAAAGGTTGACACCCAACGGGATTCGAACCCACGCCCTTTTCCCTTAAGTTCTCAAAAAATCTCCACTTAACCAAAAACCGCGAATAACCAAAAACCAAGAGATCCCTTGGAGCTAGCTCATAAATAAGAAATTAAATTTATAAACCATTAAAGTGCCATTTCTTCGCCTTCTGTTGATAATTGTTTCCCCGTTGTTGATGGGAATTATTGTATCCAATGTCGAATCGCATGTTGACGTCGCTGCTGTCGATGGGAGGGCAAGTAGTGTTGAAAGAATTGTAGTCGGCGAAATTTTGAGAAGGTTTTCGATTTTGTAATTCTTCTAATGACACAATTTGATCGTCTAAAAAATTTTAAAAAATTAAAAAAAAATTTTTTGAATTATAAAACGCGATTTTCAAAAATAATGAAGAATAAACGAGAAAATCAAAACAACAATGCTCGCAAAAAACATTCAAAAATAAAAATTAAAAAGTTAAACAACATCAAAAGGAAGGGGAAACGCGAAAGAAAAATGAATAACCAAAAGAAAAAATAAAAATTCCCCCACTTGGGTTCGAACCCACGACCTCCATTCCAGTTAAATCAAAAATTATCCCACTACACCAAAACAACAAAACATGTTAAACTAATCTCTACGCTCTGCTAATGCAATACCAACTCAAAATAAAAATGATATAAAATATTAGGAATGTTTTTAAAGCTCCTTTTAAACACTTTTCTACCTTATACATACTCCTATTCCCTTCTCCGCCTAAACCGTCAATTAACTAAAAATGCAAAAATAGGGGCAAAAAATAGAAAAAAAGATGCTCAAAAATAAAACTAAAAAGCTTTTTAAAAAATAATCTTTAGAAAAAAATCTCTCTTTTACTTTTAGTTTGTATAAAAAATATTTTTTAATATTTATTCCTTTTATAGCCTTCTAAGCACCTAATAAACCCAATTATTTTTTAACCAAATTTTTTCTAATTTTTAACCGTAACCTAGCAATTTATTTATTTTCTATTTTTATTAATTTTTTTTCTGCCAATTTTACATATATGCCGCGCGTATAAAAAATTTAGAAAAAAAAATTTTAGAAAAAAAAATAATTTTTAATCTTAATGGTCTATTTATTCTCTCTCCTTCTCTAATCCCTCTCCCTTACTGAAAATAACTGAAAAAAATTTCAAACAAATTCTTATTAATTTTTTTGTTTTAAAAATATTTTATATAATCAAAAAATAGAAAAAGACTAAATAGTGGTTAAAATAAAGAGCAAAAATAAAAAGAGAAAAAAAAATAGAAAACTGAAAAGGGGGACACGCCCAAATAGGCGCGCGGCCATAACGGCGCAAAGCCATAACTAGCTGGAAAATTTCTGACCCTTAATTAATTTTGGTACCAATTTCTTTAGCTCGATGAGAGGAATCGTTTAATACTAAATTTGATGAGATTCGAAAATCTTGAAGCTAGTTATGACTTTGCGCCGTTCTGGCCGTGCGCCTGGATGTACCCAATGGAAAGGGGGGATACAAATGTGAGTATGTACATTTTTATTTTTATATCGCGTGCTAACTACTAGTTTTAGGTTAACACATTTTTATAACAAGTAGTAGGTTATAGATTTAAAAAAAGAATAAAAGATATTTTTTATTTGCGTTTATAATTTTTTGTTTAAAAAAGGAAAAAATAAAAAAATTATTTTAAGGCAGAATTTATAATTTTTCTTTAGGAAAATTTTTATTTAATAAGAAGTTTGAAAAGATTAACTAACAAAAAATGGTTCTGGATTAACATACACACAAATAGGTATAAAACAATAAAACTCAAAAAATGCCTAAATTACATAAGGACTTGTTAAATGAATATCGATGCAAAAGGAGCGCCTTTAAATAAGAAAAGAGAGGAGGTTCGGATAAGGGCTGGACGCAATTGCGGATTGCGTGGAGTGTTTTTTTTTTGACTTGCGGATTGCGGCTGCAGATTTTAAAATTAAAATTGCGAGTTGCGGCTGCTGAAACTTTTTTCAATTGGTTCGTATCGTCTCAGATTACATAAAGTTCGGATTCCTTTTCAGAATTTTTTGGAAAGATCAGGATGGAAGGAACCAAGGAACACATTTCCATTTTAGACTTGTTCAAGTCCCAGACGAAGCCTATTCCTATTCTTTATCCACCCCCTATTCCCTTTATATCCAACCTCGTTTTCCGTTCCCTATTTCAAAAATTCTGTTCCTTACTCTTAACGGGAGCCTTTCCTTCATTATAAATTAAATTTCTACAATTTTTGCAACACAAAATTAAAAAGACACACGTTTATTAAATTATCCCCAAGGTTACACCCTCAAGGGAATATTACGTCTACCCTTAAAAAATTACTCCTGAAAGAAACAGTCTTTCTCCTCCATCCCCCCCCTCTTTCTATTACATATTCCCCCTCAAGTAACTAATAATTAAATAAATTTATTTTATAAATTTATTTAATAAATTTATTTTATAAATTTATTTATGGTATGCCATTAAATTAAAAATTTATTAAATGGGGAAAGCGTAAAAAACACTCACACACAATTTTTAATTTATTAAAAAAATTGAAAAATGGGAGGGAGAGGAAATTGAGTAGAGTAAAAAAGGGGGAGGGAAAAGGAGAAAATTAAAATTAAAAAAAATTGTTTGTGTGAAAATTAAGTGGAACTTGGAAGAAGAAAAAAATGATGAAATAAAATGATGAAATATTTAAATTTAAAAACGAGATTGTCTCTAAATTTTGTTTTGAAAAGGATTAGCAGTCTTTTAAAAAAAAGTTTGAAAAAAAAATAAAATTGAGACAGATGTTAATGGAAGAAAAATGGAAATATGAAGGATATAAACAGACTAAAATTAATGATAAAAAAATATAAAATAGGTAGAGATTTGGATGTTCTCGAGGATTTTTAAGAGGTGTCCAAAATGGAGAATCTGCCCAAAAGGTAGTCTGAAAGAACGGGACAGGTATAAGAACGGGGTAGGTGTTTGTTGCCCCAGACTCGAACGCTTGCCCAAGGGCAACCAAATCCTAAAGAAGGGTATTGTGTTGGGGGAGACTGACTAGTACTATGTAGGATTCAAAAATGGACTACATATTCAGAGAAGTGGAGCTAACCATAAAAGAAAGGGTTAAAGTCCAAAGTTTACTAAAGAGATTCTGTTAAAGTCTGAGAAGTCAAGGTAAATAATCAACCCTTAGCATGTTGCTAAAATTAAAGAAACCTAAAGGAAAAATTACAACAAATCACAAAAAAGAAAAAAATAGAAAAATAAAAGAAATAAAATGCTTGATAGAAAGCAAATGCTTAAAACGCGTCACCATAAAAACAAGAAAAGGTTGCAAAATTAGTAGAGAGAAACAAGGAAAATACCAGAATATTCTCTAGTCTTTTTCTCTAACCTTTACTTAATAAAAAATATTTTGGCGTTGTGTCTTTTTTTAACATTTTGTGTTTATTTAAATTCTAGGTCAACCTGATTTTAAAAATCTTCTCAAAAAAGGTTGTGTCCGCACTTACAGAAGGAAACAATATTAATGTATAAAGACAGCCCAACAAGGAGAGTTGGATAGCGGCACAGTCGGTTTGGCTGTGGAACCGAGCCTTTACCCAACTTTCCCCATGATGGTTCTACATATCTAGAGTTGTCCGGTATCGGGATTACGACATAAAATCGGGATTCGTCTTTCGGTCTCGTGATCAGCAAAATCGGGATCGGTATTCAAAAAAGTGGGATAATCTCGCCCAATCCCGCCTGAGATATCAGCCAAGTCTAGTTCTATCCCATCTCCCTTCCAAAGAATTTTCAATAGCATTAACTAGAGATCGAACTGGGAGGGTCGCACGAGAATCGAGATCGAAAAAACAAATCCTCATCTTGATAACCGAGATTCTGATCGAAATCTCGTCTCGGTCCGATCTCTAGCATGAACAATTGTACTTAGAATAAAAAATTTTTTCTTGCTTTAGAAAAAAATATTTTAATTTATTTAAAATAAATTCTCTGCTAAAATGACGAGGACAGAAAAAAGTACTTTTTAACTTTTTTTATAAACACATTTTTAATTTTAACATAATCTTTCTCCTCCCGCTGACTACAAAAATTACATAAATATTAAACACGAAAACTAAAATTTTTAAAAAATATATTTAAGAAGCCTTTAATCCCTCCAAAAAATAAAAGAACGGAAATTAGCCCCCTTATAATCCCCCCTCACATTTTAAAATAAATTATGACAAGGCAACGGAAACCCTTTTCCCCCTCACTTTTTTGGTTACTCAGCTTAACTAGAAAAAAAAGACTAGAGACTTAAACACACACACAATTTTGAATATCTAAAAGAGTTCATTTAAGCCCTTTGCGTGGTTTGCACTTTTCTCTTTTAACAAAAAAACGTAGTAGTGTCCCCTTTTTTATCTTCCGGTTAGAGCCATAGGCGGCAAGCAATCTCTAGTACTATTTACTGGCCTAGACTTTTTATTCTATTCTATATTCACACACACAAATACATTCTCAATTTTCGTTTTTGTCTCTTATAAACACAAATTTGGAAAAGCAAAAAAACTCGTTATAAAAGAACGAAGTCCATTGGCATCTGTCACCTAGAGAATCGTGACAGTGTAGCATACATACCTAGGTCGGTCGGAAATGACGAAAGCACCAGGGAAATTGGAACTATCGGAAATCGGAAATGACTCAAAAGGTAGAACGTGGAAACAGGTGGTTAGGGTTTTACCCCGTCAGCTTGAAGGCGCGTTTGTCGGCGTTGGAGTATGCCTGAAAGAAATTCACTAACAACTTGATGTCATTCATACTCCAACCGACGAACGCGCTCCAAAGCTATCGGGGTAAACCCTTAAAATAGGTGTAAATTTTTAGAAATCGGAAGTCGGAATCGACCGACCTCTGCTTATACAATACACACTTCTCATCTTTCTACATTCCCCTTTCAGTCCTGTACTATAAACAAACTTGGAAAGAAAAATTAAAAATTTTTTTAAAAAATATTCTAAAGTTTAAGTCCCCCCTTTTCCGTCCTTTCTTTTTTTATCTTTCGCCTACTTTTTTCTAAAATATTCTTTTAAGTACTTAGAAAAAACTATTAAAAAAAGCAATATTGATGAGAGAAAAAAGTTGTATAAAAATGAAAAAAAATTTTGGACGCGGACGGATTTGTTTACGAAAAAATTGTGTATGAGGGCGCGTGATTCTCTTAGTCGTAAACAATATTGCATGGGACAGTAATGAATGGGGGAAGGAACGACAAAAATTAAAAATGGTCAGAAGGGGAAAATGTTCAAAATGTCGAATTTCAACCCCCTTCACGTCACGGGACATTAACTCCCTCTGGACATTATGCCCACTTTTTGCCTGGTGGGCATTTTTAAAATTGGACATTTTGTCCATTTTTTTGCCTGTTGGACATTTTGTCCATTTTTTGTCTAATGGGCATTTTGTCCATTTTTTTTGCCTATTCGACATTTTGGAAAAATGACATTTTGTCCAATTTTTTCTTGTTGGGCATTTTGAAAAATTGACATTTTGTCCATTTTTGTCAAAAATACAAGACTGATGGTCGTCATGTTCTTCGCCCGCACCCAAATATAAAATTTATTTTTTTTCTCCTTTACTATTCCGCTGCTGCTGATGATTGTGTGAGCGCCCAACCACCATTTTATACTACCCCCACACTTTCCAATTCTCATCAATTATTCACCGCTTTTCTCGAATATTCTTTTCTTTTCTACTATTTTCCATGCTTTCCTTCCTTTTGTCTCTAACCCACAAAAAAAAAACAATTTTTTAGCACACGTAGACTAATAAACGTATACAAAATTACTCACACACAAAAAAAACATTTTTTTGAATGAAGTAAATAAAATGAGAGAGACTTTTTGGGGTAAATATTTTTTTGAAAAAAAGTCGAGAAAAAAATATGTAGATGAATAATAAGACTGGAAAAAGTTAAAGAATTATTTAGTGACTAAAATTCAAAAAAAAAATTTTTTTTTAAATGGAAATTTAGAAAAGAAATTCAAAAATATTTTTCTTAAAATACCCTTACCTTTATAGCCTAATTTCCCCCATTAATTTTGTTTTTTTTTCTGGTTTTAAAGCTTAATACTTCCAACAAGGAAAATATTTACATCAAAATGGGTTTTTGAGGATTAAAAAATGGAAAAAATAAAAAGCGGATATGATTAAGTAATATCCGATAAATATGAGCAAAATGGTCAGTTAGAATCCAAAACAGTAAAATTTCAAAATGGTCAGTCTCTCAAAAAATTATAAAATGATCAGCAGCCAGAATGGTCAATCCTCAATATAAATTAGCAATAAATAAAGTTTGGGTACACCCAACATACCGCAAGGCTAACTTACCGCAGAGCTCCAACTTCGTTCAAAATAGTCGAATTTAGACGCCCTGATAGTTAGATTCAGCTCCTCAAGATGCATTAACCATACCAAGGCGTCCCGGATTCGACTATTTTGACATTGGTCTTGCGGTACGTTGGCCCGCTCCATAAAATTTGATATGGATAAATGGATTGTTTTTAAGGGATTTAAAAGCTCAAGGGTAAATAAAAACAAATTTAATCTTCTAAAAATATTTTTGAGTTGTTTACACATTTTTTAATGTTTCTACTGTAATCATTAGAGTATTTACTATTTTTGGAAAATAATTTTTTGTTTTTATGTATTTTAAAGAAAATGCCTTTTTATGACATTTGTGCGCTTAAAAAGAAAAAAAAGAAAATGCCATAAATAAAATTATTCATATTAAGATGAAGGAGAGAAGAAAGGGGAATAAGTGTGACCGATATGTGTTTGTTGTTTATATTTTGGCCTTTCCCCATCTGCCATTTTTTTATTTTTAAAGGTTCAGAAGGTTCATAAAAATACCATATTTAAATATTTGTGTTCGTCTAAGGGAGCTAAAAAATGGCAAAAAAATATTTTTAAAACTGTAGGGTGAGACATTCGAAATTCTAAAAAATAACCTTAAAGTCTATAAATTATTTAAAACAATTTAGCACGCAAGGATATCAAACCTGTCAACCCTTACTCTAAAATTGGAAGCGTAACCAACTTAGCCACACTATTTATCTTCAGGGCATCCTAATATCAACACAAAGAAACTTTAGGGGACCGAAGAAAAGTTTAATTAAATCAACAGCTTGGTTAACAAGAAATAGCCGCGAGTGGCCAAAAAGCTCGTCATCACGAAATGTTAGAATAAAATAAAAATTAATTTAAAAAAGATGTTCTCATTAAAAAGAGAACAAAAATAAATTTTTCTAATTAAAAAAAATAATTTTAATAAATCCAAAAAATGATTTTTGTACTTTTCTTTTAACTAAAAATTTAGTCGCGCAAAAATAAAAAAAGTCCCCCCATAACTTTTCTATTTTTATTTAAAAGCCAAACAATGAAAGAAAGAAAAAGAAGAGATTATCTCTCTTTTTTTTTCTTAAACAATTCTCTCCCCTATATTTTATTATCCAATTTCAACAACTCGTGATGAACACAAAATTCCCTTTTTAAATTATTTAAATGTCAATAGGTCTTCTTCTTTTTTTTCTTTTTTAATTTCACAGTTGGAAATTTTATTTTTTTTTGATTTTATAAATCTTGTCATTTTGGGAAGGTAAAAGAGTAAACTACCCAAATTTTTGATTTAATCAAAAAAGTTTTTTTCTAAATTTTCTTAGTCTTGTTGATTTCAGTACAGATAAGGTCAATTTAGTTTATTCTTTGAATTAAAAATTTTTGGGTGTCTAAAAATTGGAAATAGGACAGTCATATGGCAGGGAATGGACGGGTTGAGAAAAAAGCATGTCGGGTTTCGGATCGGAAAAAGTCCGGGTTTCTGGTCGGTATAGTTAGGGGAATTGGGATTAAGAGGGGAACATTCCGGATTTCGATTAAGTGTTTCAAGTCTAAAAATTGGAAACAGGACAGTAATATAGCAGGGATGGGACGGGCTGAGAAAAACATGTTAGGTTGATAGTACAGGTTCCTGACGGTATAGTTAGGGGGATTAAGAGGGAAAAATTCCGGGTTTCGGTTAACCAGACGGACATACAGCCTTAACCTACTACATACGTAAGAAACTTCTAACAAAGTAGCTTTTTGGTACCGCAACGCAGCTCGACAAAATACCTACTTAAAATTATATCAAATTTAAAGACTCAGTTATAAGCCCTGCCGCAAGGTGTACTCAAAAAATTTAATTTTCTAAAAATATTTTTTTTGGTTTTTGCCCCCTTTTCTTTCTATGTATTTTCTTTTATTTATTTTTAGTTTTTGCCTTTATAAACGTAAAAAGAAAAAAAATAAAAAAGGTTAAAAGCCAATAAAAAGCTTTAAAAAGCCCCACACGCTTGTGTGTGTATTTGACAACCGGAAAAGAAACAAATTGAGAAAAAAAGACGATAAATGACGCAAAAAAGAATAAAAAAACGATGGGAAATTGTTAAGGAAATTTAATCAGGAAGGCAATATAAACAAAAATTTATTTCAAAATGTCAACTAGTGCAAAAATGTTTCACAGCACCCAAAACTAAAAAAATATTTCAAAATGTCAACTTTTGATATTTCGAAATGTCAAATAGACAAAACACCCCATTCGAAAATACTTCATAATGTCAACTAGTGGAAAAAATTTTAAAATGTCAACTAACACATAAAACTAGAGGTCGGCAAAATCGCATTCCCGGGATCCCGTAACGGGATTGAGTTTAAAAATTTCGAAGGGACGGATCCCGTGGTATTAATCCCGTAAATTCCGTTTTTCGCTGAAAACCCGGGATTCCGGGTTGGGATCCCGTAAAATCCCGTGCGGGGTCCCGTCCCGTGCATAAAACTTCAAAACACCTAAAGACAAACAAATTTTTCAAAACGTCAAATTACAAAACATAACACAGAGTGGACCTCACTATAAGAGAAACCCAATAGTAGATTCACACCGATTTATGACAAGTTCTTCTAAAATTGGTTTGAAATTGATGAGGGAGAGAGCCGTCTAACTGATCTCTCGAGGGGAGAGGGCCGCTAAGTGATACCCCCTCCCTCCTCCTCTAAGCAACCCCCCCCTCAATTTAGGATAACCTCATTATAAGAAAACATTTTTTCAGCCCTTAAAGATTGTATCTCTTAAAGTGAGGCCCCCTACTCACTCAAAAAAAAATAAATTTTTTTTTAGTAAACACACACTCACACACCTTTTATCGCAGCAGTTGTCGACGCCACCATTCCTCCTCTACTATTAAATTGTGGAATAGCAAAATCATGATAAATTTGAGAATTGTTGTTGTTGTTTTTCACATCCATTTGCTGTCCATCATCTCTGTCCTCGTCGAAAAAGAACATTTTTTTCTTCTTCTATTTTTTTCTTCTTTAAAAAGTTGTTATTGCTTTCGGTCCTTTTTTTATTCTTCACGTGGATAGAAGGAAAAACGAGTTTTTGCAATTAAAAAAATTTTTTTTCAGTGTCCTTCAAAGTCCAAAAAAAATTTTTTTTTCAAAATAGTCAGTTGTTTAGCACTTTTTTTGGTAGAAAAATATTTTTTACAATAAACACAAAAAATATTTTTAGAATTAAAAAATGTTGTTATTACTTGTAGCTTGGCTAAACAATGTTTCTTCTAGTTGTTCTAAAAAGCTACTCGAGTTTATCCTCCTAGTTGTTCTTCTACTAGAGATGATCTTCTTTCTAATCGCTTTCTACTCGCTGTAGTTGTGTCTTGAAGTTACTGCTCCAACTAATTTTTCCAAATTATTGTTGTGTTGCAGTTACTGCTCCAACTAGTTGTCAACTACTTTTTCCACAACCTGATGTTGTGTTGCAAGTACTGCTTGAATTTGTTGTCAACTACAACTATGTTGTAGCTTCTACTCGTTTTAATCCTTTTTTACCCGTTTCAATTTCCAAACACTTTTTTCTTCACTCTACCACTCGGCTGCTGCTGATTTTCAATGTCTTCCTACTCCTACTCACTGTCGTCAACACTAATACTTTTTGCCTTCTAATGGGCTTCAGATTTGTTGACAAAAAGATGAAAATTATGCGCGCGTAAGGAGAGGTTGTGGATAAGGGCTTTGGATCTGAAAAAAAATTTTTTTTTTAATTTTTTTAAAATTTAATTAATGAATAAAAAACGCGAGGAAACGAATAAAATTTAAAAAAAAAGAGGCAAAATTTAAAAAATAAAAAATTGTCACGTTGGAAATTTTATTTATATGTACGCATTCAAAAATAAATATTTAATTAACATGTGTTTACAAACTAGAAAGTTTAAAAACGTATAATTCCAATCATTTTCAAGTGTTGTTACTAGTAGCTTGGCTAAACAATGTTTTTTCCAGTTGTTCTAAAAAGCTACTCGAGTTATTTAAAATTCATAAGTCAACAAAGAAAAGTGGGATATTTTAAATTTTGGTATCATTCGATTCGGCTCTTCAAGAAAAATCAGAAAATGTTAAAATTAAAGTGATCCGACTTTTTATTGTCGAGATATAAAAGAAAAACTAAGCGAAGGCGAATTACAACAACAGCAATAACACCAAAACCTTAATTTATTTAAAAATTTAATTAAACAAAAATAAATTTAAAGTGAATTAATATGTTAAGAGAATTTATTAAATATTAAATTAAAATTAATTTTGACAGAATTTAAAATGATTAAAAAGGAAAAAATAAAGGGAAAGGGGAAAAGGTGTTAGAGAGTGTTTTCGAGTGGGTGGAATTAATTAAATTAAATTTAGAAAAAATAAAATTCAAAAATGTGTTAAAGAAAAATATACAAGTAAAAGCTCGATAAGACTTTATTGAATTTAGAGACCGGTATGGAGGGTCATACGAGAATTAAGATCTCAAAAACTACGATCACTCCAATTCCAGTCTCTAAATTAGGGTAGCACTCCGAGCCTTCGGGGGGCGGGGTCACCGGGGATCGGGGTTTGTCGTAGTAGAGCCTGCGAATATCTGATCGGGGTTTTTGCCTAGAAATTTGTCAGGTGTTCGGAGAACGGGGTGCTACCTTACCCTAAATTCAACAGGGATTACCGTAGTATCGAGATATGACCGTATATCGTCTCAACCCTATCTTCAATTGAAGTGACCTACATGTTAATTCAAGTGTCGTAATATTAAGAGGGGAGATGTTATATCGAAATTGGACATGATTTCCTTTTAATTTTTTTACATAAAAATTGTTTTTAATTTTCTTTAAAAATAAAATTTTTAAAGAAAAACAAAAATAAATTTATTTATATTTATTAGTTATAAACGCGCGATCAAAGAAAACGACCACCCCTCAATAAATTTTATAACTGCGCAACCAACCATAACTATGTAAAAACGAGCATTTTCCCTTCGTTTATTTTGAAAGGGATAAAAAAATGGGGAGAATAAAACTTGGAAAAAAAGAAAACTTAATGGAGTATAACCAAGTTTGAGATGGAAAACAAGAGAGGTCGCAAGGTCGCAAGACGCTAAGGAAAATCTTAAGGAGACGCAAGAAGGAGACCAATTTATAATTAGTCCCCACTGAGAGTGTCAGCTTCAGGCTTTTGACTGAAAAAAGTCGAGATGTCTAAATGAAAGAGGACTCGGGATAAAGCAAAAGGGGAGTCTATGGACTGAAGAATAAACTTAAGAGAAAGAAGCTTTTCGTTTTCCAGTTTGATTTTTCAATCGCCGTCAATCCTCTCTTATAAGAATACCCCTTAGGGGAAGAAAAATTAGTCTCTTATAGTGGGGGATAGCTTAAATCGAGGGTATCGTTTAGGCAGCTCCTCTACTCTGTAACTAATCACATTTAGAAGAAAGTGACTTGAATGGAGGTGTAGAGGAGCATTGAGTGAATTTACAGAATACCCCTAAGAGGGCCGGGGAGGGAGGAAGGAGATGTTGAGGTCCTACCGTAATTTAAAATTTAATGAATACTAAATTTTAATTTAAAAAAGGTCAAATATCGACCAATTCTTTATATATCCAACACTAAATATATAAAATAGAAAAATTATAAAGCAGCTGAAAAGGAAAAATGAAGAAAAAAAGTATTGAGGAGAAGCAAATGTAGTGGTGGGAGAAGGAAGGGAGGAGCATAAAGAATGAAGGCCCCTGAAGGGCCGGGGAGAGAGGGAGGAGTGGTTTTGAAAAGAAGAGAGAGAGAAATGTTTAAAAGAAGAGAGAGCAGAGTGCGTTGAGTGCTCGATAAGTAATAAAACGAGGGAGGATCTTTCGGCGCTAAAAACACGGCGCCATGAGAAAAACAATTTTCTGCGCCGAAATGTCCGCTTCTGACGAAAATGTAAACAAGAGACAGTTTGGCGCGAAAAAAGGGGCGTTAAGTAGAGAATAAAAGGGCTGCGCCGAAACGTCCCTTCATAAACAAGGGAAAATGTTGGTAAAATGAGGAAAGGAAAAGCAGATGTAGAAAATTGAGAAGAAATATAAAAATAAATAAAGTAAAAAGAGTGAAGCTCAAATTATATAGAAAAGAAAGGATTGCTTTTTAGTAGAGTATATTTATGTGTATTGTTGTAAAAAACCCCAATTTTTGTTTAATCATTTTAAGGGCTAAAATGAATTTTTTTGTTGTTGAGGTACCTAGTGTAAAATTTAAAAAGAAAATAAAATCTTAGTAATTTTAAAAGGATATCGAAGATATAGCAATCATTGAATACTAAACTTGGAAGGAATAGAAAATATTGAAGCAGGCTAGGGCTTTGCGCCGTTATGGTCACGCGCCGTTTTGGGCCTATCTCCCTTAAAAGGACCCTTGCCTAGGAGAGCTTAGAAAAAAGCGTCGCACAATTAGAGAGTATTTATACCCAAGACCCTTAATTGAAGAGTGCCTTTGTATTAGAGAGTGCCTCTCCTTTGTATTAGAGAGGACTTGTTATAGGAGCAAAGCTTTCTATTAGAGTGCCCTTAAAAGTGTATCGGTTGCGCCGAAAAGACCCCCTCCCTCCCACTCCTCCTCCCAATAAACTAATAATCTTAAAAACTAAAAATTTTTACCAAGAATGATGAAAACTTAACAAAATTAATTATTTATATATACCCAGTCAAGAATGTTTAATTTTTATTCCAAAAAGTCTCGTTTAACATTATCAGTTTATATTAAATTAAAAAAAAGTAAACGAACTTTGGGCAAGTAAATTAATAAAAATTAAAAAAAATTTTTGTTAATAAGAAAGCAAAAAATAAAATTAAATATAAAAATTTAAATGATAAACACGATAAAATAAATAATTTTTATATTTTACTTTAAAGGTCCCACCCAAGAGATCAAAATTAAAAAGGCGGTGGCTTTCTTAAGGGCGTTGATTTTTAGGGTGTTGATCTTGTGGGTTAGGGTATTATTTTAAATTTTCAGGGGAAAATGAATAAAAAATTGAAGTAATTAAGGGAAATTACTCAATTTTGGGGGCCAGTCTTCTCTATAGGAAGTATCCCTTATAGTGGATAAACCTCCATTTAACATACTTTTTTAAGAGTTAGTAGGAGGGGGATAGGGGGGGGGGGGAATGGGGGGGGGTGGAGAGGGAGGGCTGCTCAAGTGATAGTAGCTGCTCAAGTGATAGTAGCCTCCAATACACCTCACCTCTATTATTTAACCTTATAAGATACAGAAGATACACCTCTATTTGAAATACTTTTTTTAAAAGTTGATAGCTGAGGGGGTGGAAGAGCGAGGATAGGGCTGTTCAAGTGATAGCCTCCTATACACATCACTTCTACATATTTAAGAGACACCTCATAAGATAAAAAAATATTTTCTAAGTTGCAATGAGGTTCTGAAAGTATTATAATATAGCGGAAGTTTTTTTGTAAATTAAAAATTAATTTCTAATTTAATTCCCTTCCCTTTTCTTCCTTTTATATACGCGCACCCACCAATAAGCAACTGCCAAATAATCATTTATTTATTTATTTTAATATAATTAAATACACGTAATCATTAAAGCAACATCATCATTATTATTATAGTCATGTGTTAGTAAAATAAAAATAATTTTTTATTAAATATAAAAGAAGAAAAAAGAAAGAGAGAACTTTGGAGGAATTAATGAGAGAAAGATGAAGGTTATTCATTGATAGCAAAACTAGTATTTATTTTGTAAAAATTTGTTAATAAAATTTTTGTTTAAAATATTCATAAAATTTTACCAAAGAACAAAGTTAAAAATTTGTTTCAAAAAAATTTAACAAATTTTGCACAACGAATATTTTTCTCTAACTGTTAGAGAAAATCTCTCATTTTTCCATTGTCTCTAGTAAAGGTTTAAATTTTCGAGGAATTTTTCGAAAATTTTTGTCAACTTGAGAAAATACAAGTCAGACCTTATTAAAAAATGCATCCCTTCTTTATATCCATCCTTTCCTGATACAAGATAACCTCAGTTTAAAATGCGTTTTTTAACTTTGGTTAGTCACTGGCTGAGAGAAGCTGCCTAAGCAATACTTTCTATTTAAGATACATCCAGTATAAGGCACTTAATTTTCACTAGGCTTGTATTTTATAACGAGGTCCGTCCGAATATAAAAAAACAAAACTCAAAAAATTAAAAAAAAAATATTTTTTTTTCTCTAACTGTTAGAGAAAATCTCTCATTTTCCCATTGTCTCTAGTAAGGTTTTAATTTTTATGTTTTTTGGCCTTTTTTATTTTAAAATTGTTAAAAAAAATTTTCTTTAAGTAAATTTATAGTATCCTTTATTTCCTCAATTTTTTTATTTAAAAATGTCATATAGTAAAATAACCCCGAAGGCCCATTAAATATTGAAAACCCCGTGATATACTAGATGAGAATGATTGGAGGCAGATAGTAAACCAAAGAACAAAAATGACAAAAAAGAGACAAAGAAAATGAAATTTTATTTAAAGAAAATAAAATTTTAAAAGGATTAATAGAGTCAAAAATTGAGACTCAAAGGGTCAGGAAGGGTTTAAAATAGTGACTGGGACTGGACCGGATCCGGCCGGATTTTTCCGTAGTCCGTGTCCCAAATCCGGATATTTTTCTCGCAATTTCCGGATTAAAACCGGACCGGATTAATCCAAAGAAATCCGGCCGGATCCCGACTGGCTCTAGATGCAAATCCTGAATCCGGATCCGGCAAATTTTGAGCACCGGCTTTTGGGATTTGATCGGTTCCTGGATTTTTCCAATTTTCTTGTTTAATTTAAAAAATGATAAAAAATCAAAATGCCAAATTAATGCCAATTTAAGTCGAAATGTCATTTATAAAAGCCTCAGACTCAGATAACCTCCCAAAGAAAAATTATCAGAAAAAGACAGACTCTAATAATTCCCAAACACAAAAGTCATCAAAAACTAAAAAGAAAAAAACTTGAAACAAATAAAAAAAAGAAAAGAGAAAATATACTGAAGAGATAATATAAACAAACAAAGGTCACGAGTATCTTAAAAAAAGAAAAAAAATTGTTTATGGAAAAAAGGCAGAAAAAAATTTTTTTTGTCCGCAAATTATTTGCGGACAAAAAAATTTTTTAAAACTATTGGACTCAAAATAAATTTTTAAAAAATAAATTGGCAATTTAATTTTATTGTTCAATTAAAATTTATATTTTTAATTTAAATACAAAATTAAAATAAAATATATTAAACAATAAATTACCTAAAATACCAACAAAAAACAACAATTAAAAGACAAAATAGGCAGGCACAGGTGAATTAAACAAATGAATAATTGCCTATATTATACCTAATTATTTTGGAATACTTTCTTAAAATAGCAAAAAAAATTCTAAAAATACAAATTCCTAACTATTCTGAATTTTTGAGTTGTCCGCAAATTTTGTCCGCAAAAAAATTTTTTTTTGTCCGCAAATTTATTGCGGACAAAAAATTTAATATTTTCTTAAAATTAAAAAAATATAAATTTATAATAGATAAAGCAAAGATAAGAACGTTTAATATTAAATAAATAAAAAAAATAAAAGTAAACAATAAATGCTAGAGTTTTAAAAAAAATGGTCGTTGGTCTAAGGAAGTGAAACAACAAAACAGACACAATTTGTGGAAGAAATTAATTTAGAAAATTTTTTTTAATTAATTTAGAAAGAAAAATAATGAAAAGAAGAAAGGCAACAAAATAAAAAGTAAAAAATTCTAAAAAAAATTTAGACCTCTCCAATAAAAGGGTCCAAGGGAACAGCGTTCTCTCCCTAAGGGCAAAACCTTCCCTGGAGAAAAACCATGAACGTGAAAACGATTTTAGAATCGAAAAATCGAGAAAAAAATCTTAGAATACCAGGGGAATATTGAAGAAAGAAAAAAAAGAATTTTAAAAATAGACCAAAACAAAAAAACCCAAGAAAATAGAGACAATGAATTGTTAGCCTAAACAAATCCTTCCTCTTTCCAATAAATGTAAAAAAATATTGGTAAATAAATAAAAATTATTTTTTATTTTTTATGCCAATTATAGCTTCAATTTTTAATTTTTGTGGTTTACAGTAAAAATAGAAATTAAAAAATAAATACAAATTTTAATGATTAATAAGAATGGCAAAAATGTGTGTTGCCAAAAATAATTTTTTAAATTTAGGTAATAAAAAGAGAAAAAAAAATAAATTAATTATTAAGGGGGAAAAAACTGAAAAATTAATTTTTCTTTTAATTTAAAAATTCTCAAAAAAATTTTTTGAAATTTTTTTAAAATTTTTTTTCAATTTTCTGAGTTTTTTTTTTGAAAAAAATAAATTAATTATTAAAGAGAAAAAATTTTTGAAAAAATTTTTTTTTAATTTCTAAATTTTTTAAAAATCTTTTTTTCGAGAATTTAAAAATTAAAATTAAAAAATTTTATAAAATGACTATTTAAAAAGTATTAAAATTGCTTATAAATCCTTTCCTTTAAATAAAAAATTATTTAAAGTTGAGGGAAAAAAGTTGGGGAGGGAAAAAATTATTAAAATATTTAAATGACTCATTTTAAAAAAATTTAAAAATAAATGTAAATATTTATAAAAATTAAAAAAAAAATTTTTTTAATTAAAAAATGTACAAACAAAATTTTTTTCCTCTAAAAAATATTTTTTTTGTTTGGCATAATGTTTTTTTAAAGCTTTTAAAAAGAATCAACGTGAGAAAAAATGTTTAAATATTTGTATTTTAAAAGCTTGAAAATTCTTTTTAAAAATGTGACACGAGCGGAAATGTGTGACAGAAAACTAATAAAATAAAGTCTAAAAATGAAACTAAAATTGAGGAATGAGTAAAGAATTTAAAAAAAAAGAAAAGAAAAAAACACGAGATTTTAATAGACAAAAATGTATGGTATGCCAACTCATTGGCTCATAACTTTAAGAAAAGTTGAGATACAAAAGTGGTTTATATGTTGTTTGAAAGAGGAGAATGTGGACTACAAAATAGTCAAAAATCAGAATTTTAGCTTTATTCGTGAGGAAGATAGGAATTTTTAAAGAGAGTATGGTTATAGGGTAAATGACGAGATTCTTAGAGTTTTTGAGGCATAACTTTTGAAGGAATCAACAAATAAATTTTAAATAGATTCTAAGTTGTAGCCCACACTTTTCTCTATAATTTAACTTAAAAAGTAAAATTTAAATTCAACTTTAACGATAAGTTAGAAGCTTTTAAATTAGTTAAATAAATCCTTCGATTCAAAAGGAAGACAAAATTTGAATTAATAAAAAATAAAAATTCTGGTTAAGTGGTTAAATTCGGTAATGGAGTGAGAGATAATATGAAGGGCATGGTTCGAGTCCGTTCAATGCCTAATAAATTTTTTTAGGTTAAATATGTACGTTAATTTGATGATTTTAAATAGAAAAGACAGTACATACATATGTAAGTCGCTGGCATTTTTTTAATTAAAAATTAAAAAAAAATGGACGATTTTCATAAAAATCCGAGGTTTGGTTTAGGATATGGAAAATAAAATTCCAAAACAAAATATATATATTGTTTTACTTATCTAAACAAAATGAATCAAAAGTACCACTAAGTCTAGGAGATGTTTGAATTTTCTAATTTTAAAATTTTTAAAAATTTAAAAAATATTAAAAAAAACCTTTAAGGCAAATAAATAAGTGAGGAAAAAAAATTGGGGAAAAAAGAAGTAAATAAGTGAGGAGAGGGAAACAATGCGAGTATGAGTGAATTGAGGGGAGGGGAGAGGGGAGGGGAAGGGGGAAGGGAAGATGAGGAAATATGTATGTAGAGAGGAAGCTATGAAAAAACTAAAAAAATAAAAATCAATAGAAATATAGTCAATAGGGTTGTGAAAGAAGCATTGAAAAAAATTTTTTTTGGTGTTTTTCTGGGAGGGTTGTTTGGAAGCAATTAAATTTTGTGCTACTTTGTTGTATTCAAAAAATGGAAGTTCGAGAGCAATTTCTGCCATATTTTAAAAACGGTGAAAGACGGAAGGAGGAATCGGAAGGCGGAAGACGAAAGCAGAAGAGAGGCCATCCAAGTTAGGAAGCTTATTAATATTTCGAAGAAAAAAATTTTTTTCTTCAGAGAAGGATATAAGTGGAAGTTAAGGGGATTGTTTCTAACGAGAAACAATGAAAAAAATAAAAAAAAATAAATTAAAAAAATTTTTTTTGTGGGAGAGAAAGAGAAAATTAAGGATTATTAATTAATAAAAAAGATTTTTTCCGTTTTAGCAGCTGTGTTGATTATCCCCTCTCAAAAAAATATTTTATTATCCCCTTTATTTTATTATTACTCATTCCCCTCAATTTCCCCTCAGTTTTTTACTCAAAACTCCCAGGCAAACACATTTTTAAAGCTTTAGGCGTCACGGGACCCTTTATTTACTATTTACAATTATTCTGTTAACAAACAAGTTTTTAAGCACTTTCAACCTAAACGTGGATCAGAAATTGTAAACAAAAAAAAATACAAACTTGTTGTTGAAAAAGTTTTAATAAATGTGTTTACAAAGTTGGTGTTTATTTTAAAAGAAAAACACGTGAAATACATGATTATATTTAAAACCAGAATTTTGGAAAATCAGAATTTATAAGTAAATAAACTTTAATTTAAATAAAACTTGAAATCAGAATATTGAGAAACTTGGTTAAACCGAATTTTGTTTTGTATTTATCAGAATTTTATAATAAAATACAAAATAAACACAAAACCAGAATATAAAACAATAAAACTTGAAATCAGAATTTTGAAAAATACAATTTATAATTAAGCTTTAATTTAAATAAACTTGAAACCAGAATATTTAGAAAATAAACTTGAAATCAGAATTTAAAGTTTGTTTAATAAATATCAGAATTTTACATCATAAACACAAAAATAAAATAAACTTCAGATCAGAATTTTTATTAAAAATAAAAATATAAAAACGATTTTTACAACGTTGCAAATGAATTGACGGATAAATTGGTTGAAAATGTAGAAAATCGGGGGAAATAAAAATAAAGTAGTGATGATGGGAAGGAAAAATATAAAAAAAAGTAAAAATGTGTATAGCAGGATGATGGAGTGGAGAGATTTTTATTCATCTTGCAGTTAAAAATATTAAAAAGTGAGAAGGTGAATTGCTGCCGACAGGGAAAAACTAAAAAAAAGATTTTTGGGAATAAAATTTCGTACTTTTCTGAATTTTATTTATTAATAAAATACATGTATTTAAGTATTTTTGTGTTTCAAGTTTATTTTTGTATTTTTAAATTTGTGTTTTATTAAATAAACTTGAAAATATCAGAATTTACAATAAATACTTTAAACCAGAATTTAGATAAATTGTAATTTCAGAAATTCTGAAATACAAAAAATAAATAAACTTTAAATTTGTGTTTTATTAAACAAACCTGATATAGGTGATATCAGAAAATAAACTTGAAATACATATTTGTGTTTCAAGTTTATTTAATAAAACACAACTTTAAATAAAACACAACTTTAAAGTTTTATTTTGTGTTTTTTTGTATTTCAGAATTTATTTAATTAAACTTTAAAATTTGTAACTAAATTCTGGTTTAAAGTTTATTTATTGTAATTTGTAAATTCTGATTTAAAAATATTCATTAAAACTTTTTAAATTTTATTTTACAATTATTAAATAAAGCTTTGCAAAAATTATTAGTTTTTATATTTTTCGGCCGTTATTCTCTTCTCGACTGAAATAAAAAAATTTTTTTGTTGTCGATATTGAGTGGAGGGGAGTATAAAGGTGAACAAGCATTAAATAAATAAAAAGGATTGAAAAGAATGATGCAATCTGCAGGCAAAAATGGAGGAAAATAATTTTTTTGTTATTTTTATTGAGAAAATTTTGGAAGAAAAAATATAAGAAAATTAAATGATTAAAGAGGCATGATATTTTCACAAGAATTTTGAACAAATGTTATGTTGAATAAAATGATTAAATGAATTTTTAGAGCAAAAGAAGGTAATTAAATGTTTCTTAAAATTTTATTTTATTAAAAATATATTCTGACAAGTTAAATAAACTTGAAACTTTTACAATTGAAAATCAGAATTTACAATTATTTGTTAATTTGTAAAATAAAAGAAGCAGAAGCAGAAATTCAGAAATAAGGGAAAATAAACTTGAAACTTTTACAAAATCAGAATTTACAATAAATAAACTTGAAAATTACAAATTCTGATTTTTACCAGAATATAATATTTAAATAAACTTGAAACTTTTACAATTTGTAAAAAATAAACTTTAAAATTTACAAATTGTAAATTAACTTGTAAATCTACAATTTGTAATCAAAAATTACAATTATAAAATAAACTTGGAAATATACAACTTGAAACCAGAATTTACAATTATGTTTAAATAAACTTGAAACTTTTACAATTTGTAAAAAATAAAAACTTGAAACTTTTACAATTTGTAAAATAAACCTGAAATCAGAACTACACCTATAGATAACCTACCCTAACCCAAATTCAGAATTTAAAAATAATATTAATTTTTAGTCTTCCACCCCACCAGTATTTACATAAATTGTTCGGCCTTTGCGCTTTAATTTATTTTTGGCCTTTAAATATTTCTAATCTGTTTGAGGTTATTTTTTTGCTCGATTTTTGGTCCATTGAGATTAGAGCAAACAAAAATAGAAAAGAGGAACAAATAAAAATACAAAAAAGTGAAAAAAAAATAAAGAGTCGAGAAAAAATATGAATAGGATTTTTGAAAGATTTAAAAGAGAAAAAAATCAGAAAATACTAAAAGTCAATTTTTTGGTTATTTAGAAATTATTTAAAAAAATTTTCTAAATTGAGATAAACTTTGAAAAATAAAATTTCATAATTCTGAAAAATTAATAGAGAAATAAACCTGAAATCAGAATTTAAAAATAAACTTAGAATCAGAATTTTGAAAATCAGAATTTTGAAAAAATAAGAGCGAACAGAAAATAAACTTGGAAATCAGAAATCAGAATTAAAAAAAAGTTGTAATTGTAATATGTATGTTTTTAATTTACCTGACACTTTTACAATTTAAAATCAGAATTTACAATTTAACATAACCAGAAAATACATGAATTAAAATATCAGAATTTAAATAATAGAAAATATCTCAGTCTATTTTGAGCCTTTTTTGTATTTTCCAAAAATGGAAAATAAAAAGCTTCAGATTAAGAAAAAAACTTTTACTAAAATAAAACTTATTTCCTCGTTAATATTTTTATGAAAAATTATTTTTTATAATTAAAAATAATTTTCTGCCTTAAACGTGTCCGGAAATTTGGGGAGTGGACACTTGGGGAGTGGACATTTGGGGAGTTGATAAATGGGGAGTGAGCGGACAATTGGGGAGTGGACATTTGGGGAGTGAGCAGTCGAGTGACGATCGTGTCATCAGCCGAGAGAGTCAGCCGAGAGACTCGAGTAACCAGCTGAAGATGATCAACGAGGAGAGTGATCAGACGGAAGATCCGGATTCAGCACCGAGATTCAAAAGAAGTAATGAGTAATCCCTCATATATTCTCAAAATCCTTTGAACTAAGTCAAATTTCTTTCTTTTTTTAGCGCCACAGCGAAAATTTTAAAATTTAGGAAGGCAACAAGCCAGATTTCTTCCTTTTTTAGCGCCGCAGGCGAAAAAAAAGTTTAAAAGCCAAGGGACCAAAAGCCTTCATTTCTCTGAAATCCCGCAAAATGCAAAATATTTTGCGGGATCCCGCATGCGGGAGTAACTTCTAAAAAAGTCTGCGGGACGGGATCCCGCGGGTATAATCCCGCAAAACCCGCGCGATATCCCGTCCCGCGCCGGTAATTACTTTAAATACATACAAAAGCAAGAAAAACTATTTAATATTCTATTTTATTTTTATCGTTAGGCTACTCCCCAAATGTCCACTCCCCAATTGTCCGCTCACTCCCCATTTATCCACTCACCAAATGTCCACTCCCCAAGTGTCCACTCCCCAAATTTCCGGGAGCCGCCTTAAAGATTTTCTCGCTCAATTAACACCCCTAAATTAATAATTAATTAATAAAAAAATTTTCTGAGAAAATTAATTTAATAAAAATTATTAAAAAGTTATTTAATAGACTCCAAAAACAATAAAAATAAATAATAAAAAATAAATAAAAATAAAATTTGGGAAGACAAGCGGGCGCATCAACATGTGAGAAGAGAGAGAATAGAGAGAGAATATTCTAGAATAAATTCTCGAATGTGCGAGAAAAATTAATTGATTATGGATAAAATAAGGGCAATTTTAAAGAAGAATCGATGAATTTTTTTAAATTAAAAATTTTGTTTTTTAAGGTCTCCAGTCCTCTAATTAAATAAGGAAGTTGTTTTTACCTCTTGAAACTTTGCCTATGTCTCTACACATAGAAAAACAGATAAAAAATAAACTTGGAAAAAAATTCATATATAAATAAACTTGGAAATCGGAATTTACAAAAACTTTAAATCAGAATAAATAAAAATAAACCTAGAATATGTAGGTATTTTCGAAATTCTGATTTTTAACTTTATTTTAAATTCTGATTTGAAGTTTTTTATTAAAGAGTAATAAACCTAAAATCAGAATTTTGAAAATAAATAGTATAAAATAAGAGTGAACAGAAAATAAACTTGAAATCAGAATAAATTTGAAAATACAGAAAACACAAAAAAACACAAAAATTCTCAAACAAAGAAATGTTTAACACATTCTAACAAAATGTATTAAAAAAATTTTTTGTTTTTTCTCCTTTATTTTCTCGCCCTATCCTTGAGCAAAGATCATTGTGTGCTTTGTCGTTGTTATCCTCTTTTCCCTTTCAATTCTTTTTGGATCTCCCCCAACGGCATATATAAAATATTATAGTAAGGGAGTATTACTATAGCTTGGCTTTGACAGGTCTTTCTAAATTTGAGTGTTTGTGAAGGTTACTTCGGTGGCAAAAATAGGGAAAAAATTTAAAAAAAGAATTGACAATTAAAAGAAAGGCGAGAAAACTGTAAAAATAAACGAGTCAAAATAAATAAACTTGAATTCTGATTTTATTAATTCTGACTATGTTTTTGTGTTTTTGATTTGACGAAGTATTTTCGGATAATTCTGATTTTTGTGTTTTTCCTTTTTAAATTCTGATTCTTGTGTTTTGTAAATTCTGATTTTTTGTATTTTTCTGTAATTCTTATAATGAAGCGTGGAAGATTCCAAAATTATAGGGTTACAGTTCTGGTATCGGAGTATATTAAATATCGACTCGGTACTTTAGTAAGTATCGCATTTAATAAATTAAACATTTTTTGTTCAAGTTTAAAATTTTAATTTTCATAAAAAATTAGAACTTCAATTCAAAAAAAATTAAAAATAGTCAGACTTTAAATGTTTAAAAATTATATAAA